TGTAGTTTCTCTCCATCCAGAGACACTGTGGACTCAAACAATGATGGATCTGGAGCAAACTTGGCACAAATACTCAATGTGCCCAAATGTGAATACTGGTGGAGTTTGGGGAAAAACAGACCTTGACATTTGGGAGTTGTAGGTGCTGGGATTTATAGTTCACCTACAATCAAAGCGCATTCTGAACCTTACCAAGGATAGAATTGAGCCAAACTTCCCACACAGAACCCCCATGACAAACAGATTCTGGTGGTTTTTGGTGACCTCTCTGACACCCCCTCACAAGCCCTCCAAGGGCTCCAACCCCCAGGTTGAGAAACGCTGCTTTAGTATTTTTTGTTTATTCGTTCAGTCACTTCCAACCCATGCCAGAGCTCCCTATCGATCATCACCACCCCAGCTCCTTCAGAGTCAAGCCAGTCACTTCAAGGATACCATCCATTCATCTTGCCCTTGGTCGGCCCCTCTTCCTTTTTCCTTCCTTTTTCCCCAGCATCATGGTCATCGCCAAGCTTTCCTGTCTTCTCATTATGTGGCCAAAATACTTAATCTTTGCCTCTAGTATCCTTTCCTCCAATGAGTAGTTGGGCTTTATTTCCTGAAGTATGGACTGGTTGATCTTTTTGTGGTCCAAGGCACTCTCAGAATTTTCCTCCAGCACCACAGTTCAAAAGCATTTATCTTCCTTCGCTTAGCCTTCCTTATGGTCCAGCTTTCACATCCAAAATTACTACGGGGAATACCATTGCTTTGCAGTGTGTTGTCTCTACTCTTCACTATTTTATCCAGATTGGTCATTGCTCTCCTCCCAAGAAGTAAACTTCTTCTGATTTCCTGGCCGCAGTCTGCATCTGCAGTAATCTTTGCACCTAGCAATACAAAGTCTGTCATTGCCTCCATGTTTTCTCCCTCTATTTGCCAGTTGTCAATCAGTCTTGTTGCCATAATCTTGGGGTTTTTTATGTTTAACTGCAACCCAGCTTTAGTATCTCTTGGCCTAATTTACTTCATAGAGTTGTATAGACAAAATTGTTAGCGGGACTCATAATTTTTGTAGAAGAATGGTGGGATTGAAGATGTAAGAAATACATATAGCCTAAAAGGGGGGGGGGGGGTTTAAATAAATAGAAAACTAGAAAGAGTGCCTTGAAGGGTCATGAAATGAAATGTCATACAGAGAAAGATTATCAATATGTCTCTGTGGTTATAGACAAATATTGAATCATTGGAAAACTGAGGAGAGAAAATGCTGCACACAACCTCAGTAAAGAGATTACGGAGAAAGAATTGGCCTGGCATGGTGAGAAAATGAAATTTTGGCCCACAGTAAAGAAATGCCACATCTGTAGGAAGCATCTGTCTTCAGCATATAATACTGCTGCTATGTTTGTGTACTTGGCTCATAATCTTAGGGCTGCTCCGAGGAAAGCAAATGTTGTCCCTTGTCAGTTTGACAAGACAGCATGGGTGGTTAAAATTCAACAAGCTGTCTGTTTTGAGCTCTTCTGATATTTCATAAAGGTTACCGGCAAGGTTCGGTGTTTATTTTGTTCTGTCCTAATGGCACAAGGCATACATAATAAATGGTTCTCAGGAGGCTGTTGGTGGATCTTCTCCAAGGATTTCTCAAAACATTTTCCATCAGACACCTAGCCTAGCTAATGTCCACCATCATGTTTTATGGAGTTATTTGCATGAAGGTGCCCATTTAATTTGTTTTTGACCAAAGCCTCGTCCCAATAAAAGAGTCATGAAGAAAAAGGGGGAAAAGGAACATATTGTGTGGCCAGAGCTTGCAAGCCTGCATTTAACAGTTAGTTGCACTTATAGTGCAGATTAATTCCACTTATAATTCTGAGATGCCCAAAGTAGTTTATTATTGACAATGGCAAAAGGGGAGTTGAGCACAAAGCAGTGTTGTACATTATGGTTGTGCATTGTATCTGCACGTGTAGTCATTGACATGTTGCTATTCAGCATTACGGTTGCATAGTGTTAGCAAAGCATATCTCTGCACATGAATATTTACACTGTACTGAGATAATGTTGATCACAGCCAGTTTATGTTATGCAGTATAGTTTGGGGCATTTCTGGATAGAAGTTCCTTTCTCCTCCACTTTTACCCTAGTCTTGATATCAGAATTACCTTTTTTTCTCATAGTGAAGAACTGGTGGAGTACAATAATCTTCCCTGGTTTTGTAATAGAGTCAGGACGTGCGAGAGCTCTTATACTTACATTTTTTATTTCCAGAACTTAACCGCTCAAACTTGCTTCCATCTGAACTTAGCTGCAGTCTTCACAAAGGCTGAAAATAAGTGGAATTTCCATTTTGGAGTGTAGAATTGTGAGCTGTTGTTCTGGGGTGACTTCATGTAATTTCCAGCTTATGATGGGTATCAAGGGGTGTCTTTTGGAGAAGGTTTGCCTTTGCCTTCCTCTGAGGCTGAGAGAATATGACTTGCCCAAGGTCATCTAATGGTTTTCCTTATTATTATTGTTATTGTTATTTGAAACACAAGATGAGTCCATAGCAGACACTCTGCTGGCTGTTGAATTGGATCACATGTTGGACACTTCCCAAGTGTCTAGGACTGTGTGATGTATTGGTGAATAATGCATGCAGATTCCAGTAAGGTGGCCTTATTTTGTTGTGTCAGGAGCAACTTGAGAAACTGCAAATTGCTTCTGGTGTGAGAGAATTGGCTGTCTGCAAGGACATTGCCCAGGGGACACCTGGATGCTTTGATGTTTTACCATCCTTGCAGGAGGCTTCTCTCATGTCCCCTCATGAGGAGCTGGAGCTGATAGAGGGAGCTCATCTGCGCTCTCCCTGGATTCAAACCTGCGACCTGTCCAGTTTCAGTCCTCCTGGTACAGGAGTTTAAACCACTGTGCCACCGGGGGCTCCATTGATTTTCCATGACCAAGTAGGGATTTGGTCCCTGGTTTCTAGGGTTGTAGTCCACAACTCAAAGTACCATCCTGCCCTGGCTCTCTCTTATTGATATACACGTGTCAGTTACTGATGTACCCAGTTACAGTTGTGAGCTACTTCTCTTGAACCGTATAATAGTTGAAATTTGATTTTAAATAAGTAATTATGGCCTTCTAGCTTTCCAAAATGCATACTTGCTGATAGTGATTGATTTGAGCAGAACCAGTTTTCTGATATAGATCAACACAGCCACTGGCCTCTTTTTATTCTCTTTTAAGACAGTATTATGGGAACTATTGTGAAAAATCTCATCATGTCTATAACACTCTACCTAACCAGGGCTTCTGACCCTGCATCACATTTATGACCTGTCTTTCTGTAGAGCCTGCTGAGAAATGAGGGTCAGTATTTTGGTGGTCTGAAGTGATATGTCTGGTAACTGATTCCCATCAGAAGGGCAAGTGGGCAATCTTCTGACAGCTGAGATGTCTTTTGGGAGCTTGTTACTATTTTCAGGACCCCCTGGTGGTGCAGCAGATTAAACTGCTGAACTTGCTGATCGAAAGGTTGATGGTTCGAATCTGGGTAGCAGAGTGAGTTCTTTCTGTTAGGCCCAGCTTCTGCCAACACAGCAGTTCAAAAACATGCAAATGGGAGTAGATCAATGGGTACCACTTTGGTGGGAAGGTAACAGCGCTCCATGCAATTATGCCGGCCACATGACCTTGGAGGTGTCTACAGACAACACCAGCTCTTTGGCTTAGAAATGGAGATGAGCATCAACCCCCAGAGTCGAACATGTCTAGACTTAATGTCAGGGGAAACCTTTACTTTTACCTTACTATTTTCAGTGTCCTATATCAGCATGAGATTGGGAAAGTAACAGCTAACTCCTTGAAACCTCCAAGTGCCCTTTGTGGGTGGGAGCATTCTGGGAGGTTTAATCCAGAATAGAGGCAACATCCCAAGCACTGAGAAAAATCAATATTTGAGTGGACATTGGAATCAAGGCTGAAAGGGAAAGCTTGTGGGGACCATCCAATTCTGATTCCCAATCCCCATGTTCCCAATTTTAGTCTAATAATGGTCCTACCCTTGGTGAAGAAAAGGGTCATTTGAAAACAAAGGAACAACGTCAGTGGCTTGATGTTGTCAGTGGCTTGGTTAAAATTAGGTAGACATTTTGTTCCTTAACATCGTAACTCACAAACTGCTAAAAAATTTTTTTTCCTTTTTAAAAATAAGTTCTCTGATAGTTGCAGGCAATTCTGGAAGGAGTGGATGGGAATGCGTGACTTCTCTTCACTGAATGCTCAGCAACCTGACTATGATTTTAATGTGAAAGCCAGTGCTTAGGCAGTCATGCAATTGCCTCAGGCAGCAGCTTTTGGAAACTGGGTTGTTGTAGGTTTTTCAGGCTATATGGCCATGTTCTAGAAGCATTCTCTCCTGACATTTTGCCTGCATTTATGGCAAGAATCCCGAGAGGTTGTGAGGTCTGTTGAAAATGAGGAAAATTGGGTTTATACATCTCTACGGAGAGAAATTGTTCCAAGACACAAAAATTGGAAAAACTAAGAACCAGGAAAGCACGTCTACTGTGCTCTCTGACTTTCCTTCTACACTGCAGAGACACAGATACTATTCCACAGCTATATAAACCCCATTTTCCTAGTTTACAACAGACCTCACAATCTCTGAGGATGCCTGCTATAGATGCGGGTGAAAGGTCAGGAGAGAATGCTTCTAGAACACAGCCATATAGTCCAAAAAACCTACAGCAACCCAGTGATTCCGGCCATGAAAGCCTTCGCAATACAGCTTTTGGAAAGCCTAAATAACCCTCTTGTCTGTCTCATTGGTACTGTTACCTCTGTTGGAGGTCAGACCTTTCTGGGCCACAAAGCCTGTCCTGTTCCTTAAAGTGGCCCACTGCCCACAGAGTTGGTGGAGGGCACCTTTCCATTGCCAGCACCCAACTGCTCGTCCAACCAACATCACTATCTTAGGAGGAGAAGAAACACCCTTTTGTCATTCTTATATTTATGTATTTATTTTGCAGGCAGTCCTTCTGGCCACTGTATGATCACTGGTGCAGCCCTCTGGCCAGTAGTCACAGCTCTGACCACACAGCTATCTCAGCACTCCAAAAGGTAGGTCACTTCCACCCTAGCAATTCACATTCCTAGTTCCACCTTCCATTGTTTTCCCCCAGGATGTCTTTATTTACATTTCAATTCAGTTGTTACATACTCAGTATTTATCCCACCTTTTCTTCAAGAAACTCAAGGCAGGTTATGCATTTCTTCATACTATTTTCCAGTTTTATCTCACTGCAATCCTGCACATTTTTGTCCAAGCTCATCCCCGTAAGCACAATGGCTCCGTATTTATCTCTCTCTGGGTAAGCCTCCCTCTCTCTGCCTCTAGAAGGGGAGACCAAGAGCATCCTATGGCCTTCTGAGGGTTTCGCCCTTTGTCTAGATCAGTGGCTCTCAGCCTGTGGTTCCCCAGATGTTTTGGTCTTCAACAGCTGGTAAACTGGCTGGATTTCTGGGAGTTGTAGGCCAAAATACCTGGGGATCCACAGGTTGAGAAACACTGGTCTAGATACAATCCACTGCTGCTGCGTGTTCCCTCAAGTCGGTTCGATCTATCGTGCCTCTAAGGCAAACCTATCACCGGGGCTTTCTTATCAAAGTTTGTTCAGAGGGAGTTGAGGCTTAGAAAGTGGGACTTGCTCAAGGCCATTCAGTGGGTTTCCATAGGAAAAAGGGGATTCAAACCCTGGTCTCTAGAGTCATGATCCAACACTCAAACCACTACACTTCACTGGTTCTAGTAAAACAGTGTTATATTTAAAAATTTGGAGTTCCCAAAAGGTCAGTGGTTCAAATCTGTGGAGTGGGGTGAGCTCCCACAGTTAGCCCCAGCTTCTGCTAACCTAGCAGTTCGAAAATATGCAAATGTGAGTAGGTCAATAGGTACCACCTTGGCAGGATGGTAGCGGCACTCCATGCAGTCATGCTGGCCACATTACCTTGGAGGTGTCTACAAACAATGGCGGCTCTTCAGCTTAGAAATTGAGATGAGCACCACCCCCAGAGTCGGACACGACTAGACTTAATGTCAGGAGAAACCTTTACTATGTTAAGTTTGGGGTCAAAGGGTTAATTGTCCTTCTTCCAACCATTATGCACATTAATAGGACGAGGATAAAATGCTACTTTTGCTTAGTGATTAGTAATATCGGAAAATTTGGTGTATTGTTTTGGACTACAACTCCCAGAACTTTTTTGCCTAACGTCACCAATTGGTTTCATGGCCAACTGGGGATTCCAGAATCAAAAGCCCCTGGCTTCCAGAATTTATTTATTTATTTTATTGACAACATTTCTACCCCGCCATTCTCAACTCCCCGGGGGGGGGGGGTCAGAGCCCCTTCTACACTGCCATATAAAATCCATATTATCTTCTTTGAACTGGATTATATTGCAGTGTTGCAGTGTAGACTCATATAATCAATTTCAAAGCAGATAATGTGAATTATCAGCTTTGATTATCTGGATTATATGACAGTAGAAAGGGCCCTAGTCCAATGCAGGCGCTCTGCTGCATCTGAATCAACCCAGGTTGCAGTTGTGCTGTTGTACCACTTGGGGCAGTAGAGAGTAAGCCCTGAGAGTTGAATCCAGAGTCTATTGTTCTCATTCACAGAGGAGGCATTGAATGGTTCATAGATGAAATGCAATTTGTTCACAATTTCCTGCTGAAATCTCATTGGCTCATTAATGGTGTCTGAAGCCTTTTGGCTGTGCTAAATTCCAGAGCCTGGAAAAATTAGTTTTGTAATTATGCCTGTATATGTAAGGTGATTATAGAAGTAGGTATTCCTCTATAATATGCTTCCCTGTGGGCTCATCATTTGCTGGAAATAGCATTAGTCTCTCCCATTATAACAACATGCTGGAAACAAGCAGAACATATGTTGTTGTTTTTTTTAATGCAACTCCTAGAATCCCCCATCTAAGGACATGCTGCCTGGGGATTGTGGGAGTTGCAATCCAAACAGTATTTTTCCAAATTCTGGTGACACTATCCAAGGGATTTCTTGAGACACTCATTTGTTGATAGGATATTTCTAAGGGCAGAGAATGGCTGTTGATGCAACCCTTGAAGCTTGCTAACTTACCTGCAATGCCATTTCTCTCTATACAGCTGGCTGGTGAAGATAGTCCCTTTCCAGGTGTATCTCCTTCTCCTGGTGGCCATAGGTCTGTCACGCCTCTTCATACTGGCTCATTTCCCCCACCAAGTCCTTGCAGGCATCTTAACAGGTAGTGTATCTTGTGGGTTTTGTTTACCTTTTCTATTGGAATATTAATGTATACTCTGATATTAAGATTTCTTTGGCAGAAGGGCCTTATCTGTCTTGCATAGAGGGAATGTCACGATAGTATGTTCTGGGTTTCTCAAACTAGGCTCAGAAATGAACTTCAAGAGCATTTTTTTTTTGTCGTGTCAGGAGCGACTTGAGAAAGTCTTCTGGTGTGAGAGAACTGGCCGTCTGCAAGGACATTGCCCAGGGGATGCCTGGATGATTTTGATGTTTTTTTATCATTCTTGTGGGTGACTTCTCTCATGTCCCGCATGAGGAGCTGGAGCTGATAGAGGGAGCTCATCCGCCTCTCCCCTTTTCCTAGTTTCCAACAGACCTCACAACCTCTGAGGATGCCTGCCATAGATTCAGGTGAAACGTCAGGAGAGATTGCTTCTGGAACATGGACATACAGCCCGAAAAACTTACAACCCAGTGATTCCGGTCATGAAAGCCTTCAACAACACACTGCTCTGTTTGAAAGTAACATTCTCATGCACTGAACTTGGAGAGGAACATTGCTGCCCTTTCAGTTTATGGGGTTCAGAACTCAACCACAGAAGTGGGATTTTGTATTGCCTCTTCCTATTCTCACTATTTTCCTGTTTTCTTTGTCAGGAATTAGCCTGGGCTGGCTGCTAGAACCACGAGTCCCATTAGGGAAGGGACTCCACTTTTACCTCTGGACTTCGCTGTCCCTTTTGCTCGGCAGCATGATGACTTACTGGACACTGATTTTTCTGGGCATAGATCTCAGTTGGTGAGTTTGTTCAATGGGGAAATTGGGCTTCTTTCCTTCATACTAATGCAACTGTAGTCCAGAGCTTGGTAAAGTTAAGCTTTGACTACAACTCACAGAACCTTCTTTCTACCCATGCTAACAGGGGTTCTGGGAGCTATTGCCCAAATAAAAAGCTGTCTTTCCTTACTTATGATTTGTTCATGTCTTTCTTTGTTGGCCTTCTCCAGGTCGATCAACCTAGCCACTAAGTGGTGTGCAAACCCTGAATGGATCCGCATGGAAACACGACCTTTTGCTTCGTTGAGTCGTGACGTGGCCACATCCTTTGGGCTGGGATTTGCCTTCCACTCCTCTTCTTACACCCAGCTCAAGTGCGAGAAGCCCAGATGGTCTCAGAGGGCATGGTGCGCCATCTTGGCCCTTGTTCTCCTGTACTTCCTCAGTGATGTGGCACAACCACAGAACGTGGCTCTCTGGTATGGGCTGAACTTTGTGAAATATGCCACTTTCCCGTGGGTGGTGATTGGACTGCTCCCTAGAGTGATTCAAGCTGTGACATCAAAGGGGACACCATCCCACAAAGAGTAGCCAACAGGAGGGACCACTTGCTCTTTCAGGAGAGCCATAGATAGTGGTGGGTTTTCCTTGGGGTGTCCCACTTAGTGTGCAATAGGTCCTTCCATCCAAATACCTTATGTATTTTACCTCAAAGGGGACATTTTTTTTCCTTTACTCAGGCCACTGTGATTTTTCCTTCTCTTGCCTAAACAGATGTACCAAAAATGCTTCGAACCCTTCTCACCCCAGGTCAGTTGTAACAATAGGATGTTTCCCCTTCAAAAATAGAGACTGTTGTTTGTATTCAGGGCCCAAAGTTGCAACCCAAAAAACTTTCAGAAGGTATTTCCAACAGAGATGGGAGAAGGATGGGACACTGTAGCAGGTGGTTTTGTGGGACTGTGGAATCATTGTAAAAGATAGGAATAAGATGGAGAGTTTAACTAGACCAGTTCAGGTGGGCAGAAGGAGCTGCAGGCAGCACTGATGAAGTCTCTGTGCCACTATCCCATTTATCTAAGATAGATACTTCTAATTCCACCTGGTATTTGATGTGGCTGCACCTTCCCTATCCAGCTTGAATTCATAGAAAGAAAGCTGATGCAAATTCCTAAAGCTCCAAGGTAGTAGACATTCAAACCTCTAAACCAGTGATTCTCAACCATCCTAATGCTGCAATCCTGTAATACATTTCTTCATGTTGCTATTTTCGTTGCTACTTCATAACTGTAATTTTGCTACTGTTAGGAATTGTAATGTAAATATCTGATATGCAGGATGTATTTTCATTGTTACTTCTCCTTCTCCCTAGGATTTGGAATTGGCAGGGCCACTCCACCCCACTCTAAACCCTGCCCTCCTCCCCAGGGCCCCCCTTCCTCACCTTCCCCTTTCTCACCTCTACCTCCTCCCTCTTCCCTCTTGGCTGCAAAGCAAACCTCACCTCCCTCGCCCCATCTCTTCCTCCTATAATGGCAGAGGGGGCAGATTGTGTGACATCACCACCTTTCCTGCTTCTTTTCCTTGGGGTGGACTGGATGGCCCACAAGGTCTTCCAATTCTATGATTCTATAAGAAGAGGCCTCTGGGAAGTGAAGGGGGTAGGGAAAAGTTATCGGTGTCTCTGTTCCTAAGATCATCGGAAATACACATTTTCTGATGGTCTTAGGCGACCCCTGTGAAAGGGTCATTCAACCCCCAAAGGGGTCGTGACCCACAAGTTGAGAACTGCTGCTCTAAACCAACTTCTATTCAAACATTCTTAGGTCAGATGAAGGGGAATCAAACTCCCAGTTTCCCAGAATCATCACATTATTAATAATATAGCCAAATTTCAATGTTTCAAACTGTATTCACCATGCATGTCTCTTCTCCAAAAGGCTTTAACCCAGATTTCTATTCAAGGATAAAATGGGAGCTAAAGGACATAGATCTGTATACTAAACTATGTCTTTCTTAGCACTGTTGTTTTAAAAAATCCTAGTTTGTTGATTAAGTTTTAAAAAAAACCATGGCAAAAGATTAGACAAACAGTATCTTGCCTTTCCCACTCCTGGTTTGTTTCTTTTTTCTTTGACAATCATGTTCTCATCTCTTATTTCATCTCAGAGGGAGGGCAGTGACAATCCATACCTCCAATTTTAGGTGTCTCAACAGGCCATGGGTTCAGTCTATGGTTTATGATTGGTTAACAAACCACCATTTAAGGCATGGACACACATAACAACATAAACAGATATTAACAAGTGGCTCCCTGTGACATGTCAACACAGCAGTCTATTACACTCCTAACCAGTTGGCCACCTTTCCCACCCAGAAAATGTTCCAGAGATTTTGTGGCAACATTTTTGCTTTTGGAAGGTGTTTTCATGTATCAAGAGTTTATTTCTGTATGCTAAACTTTCCTTCCCACATTTTTGAAGCTTTTGGAAAAGGGCCCAATTGTCAGGAGGACCTATGAACAATGGATGTGAGCCTGGAAAGAGATCTCATCTCCATGCTTCTTTCATTACTGCATGTCTAGTGGTTTCTCAGGAAGTAGTTTGTGGTTCATGCCAGACTAGCAGAGCCCTCTCAGCATGGCTTTGGTTTTCCTTCAGTCGTGGCCACCATGTTCTTTAACAACTCTTATATATTTGTGAGTGTGTGTGTGGTGTAACGATGAGAGCCACATACTCTGTAAGGATTCACCACTGCTTATGCACACAAACTGCAATCAAAATATGGAAACGTGTTGGATTACAACTCACAGTAGCCATGGTGGCTGGGGACATCTGGTAGTTATGGGCCACAAAAGTAACTTTTAAAAGTTCTGTATGCACTAGCAAATTAGCATTATAATCATCAGTATGGCTGATCCTGTAGTCAGTGGTGTTGGTATTTAATGGTTTTTGCCATACAAAGCTTAGGGTCAAGCCAACATCTAGACAAAGTGACTGAATAACTGTCTGGGTTTTCCTGTTGCTTCTTCCAGCCTCTGCGACATGTTTCCCTTATTTAAAATGATACCTATGCATAAACATGATGTTGATATTAGAATAAATGATGTATTTTTGTGTTTGCAGCTTGTTGTGTCATGTGTCTGTCTCAAATGAACCCACTGCAGTGGTTCTCAAACTGTGGGTCCCCAGATGTTTTCGCCTACAACTCCCAGAAATCCCAGCCAGTTTACCAGCTATTGGGATTTCTGGGAGTTGAATGCCAAAACATCTGGGGACCCACAGATTGAGAACTACTATATTATAGGACTGCTAAAAAAAAGTCAGATAAGTGGACCCTAGAGAAAATCAAGCCTGAATCCTACCTAGATGTCAAATGGCCCTATGTTTGATGTGAGCGGGGTGATTGACGAAAAGGTGTCTTGGGGGTCCCCCACTCATATCGAACCAAAATCGACTTGATGGCAGATAACAATAATTCATTTAGCAAAATGTTTTAAACTCACTCTTTACCATGATATTTCAGAGTGGCAAACAGATAACACAGTATAACCAATTCCAAATTAAAAAGTAACGTAAACAACATAAAAACACATTGGACAACTCAAAGACATTAAAACAATTTGAAAAGGCTAAAACGTTTTTCAAAACCATGCACAAGCTTCAAATTTTTTTAAGGCCTCAAAATTTTTAATAAAATACTATGCCTTTACCTAATGCCAAATCAGAGTTGGCACCAATCAGGCCTCTAAGAGGAGGGCATTCCACAAGTGATGGGAGTTATAGTTTTATATCACCGGAGGATATGTATCAATAAGTCTGCCTTGGTATGATATTGCTTCTATTAATCTGAGACACAGAACGCCATTTGTTCTGCCAATTTGGAAAAGGGAGACAGGACTTACAAAGAGAAGCCAGAAAGTCCCACACATTGATTCTACCACAAAATATTGCCAGAAACAATTTTATTTACACAAGGACAAACATTGGAACATATTACAAAATACTCAACTGAAAATTGTATCCAGAGCGAGATAAACAGAGAAAGAGAGACAGAAAGCAGGAGAAAAAAGCAGAAGGGACAGGGAACCTACAGATATTTCCCCACTTATGGGGGGCATCTTCAATGTAATGTGAAAGGGGTTGATTAGGAAAGAAATGAAAAAAAAAGTCCCAATTCCCCTCCACAACAACAGCCCCCTCAACAACCTAATACTGGTGTGGTGTCCCTACTGAAAGGATACCAACAGAACGGGAGCTGACACACACACATACATGCACACACTCATTCACTCACCCACACTTGTTCCATGCTGTTGTCCTAAGGACTAATGGCTTTTCAAAATAGTTGCTACTTTTGGCCAGCGCAGAAATTTCCCTCCCCCTAAAACAAAATCCAAATGATGAAATATGGAAACAATGGCTAGTGATTCCTGTTCTTGCTTTTCTACCTGTTCTCCCTTGTCGCTGCAAATTTTTCAAGAAGGAGATAGTGAAAAACGAGATGCAAAATGGTAAAACTGGGGGTCCATTTCTTCCTGACTATAAAGTCACAATGAGTAGCATCAAGTTTACTTGGGAGTCTCTTTTGCTTGGGGCGAAAAGAAGTGTTATCACACTAACTGCAATATTTTCATTTAACAGCCCTATTGCAAATTTCTGTGAAAGGAAAAAATTGACTTTTTTTGCACTGGTGTTTTGGGATTGTTGATGTGAGTCAGCAAATGAAAGCTGAATCAGTGCAGAAATAGCTATAAGTTAGTGACTCAAAAGGCCAGCAGTAAAGAGGTGTTTCCAAATGGTAAACATTGTTATATCATAGGCTCCTATTAGAGTTGTCCTTTCTTTCTCCATTAGTAGCAAGCAAGCCCAAAGCTAGCATCTTCGAGAATTCTTGATGGCAGAAAGAAACAATTGTATGTGTATCTTCCAGATCATTTGGACATCACATCCCAGACACCTTTACCTATATAACTAATGGTAATGGATTGTGGAGACTGTAGCCCAGGCATGGACAAACTTTGACCCTCCAGGTGTTTTGGATTTCAACTTCCACAATTCCTAACAGTCGGGAGTTGAAGTCCAAAAACCTGGATCATAAACGTCTGATATACAGGTTGTACTTTCATTCACTGGACCAAATTTGGCACAAATACCCAATAGCCCATGCCTGCTGTAGCCCAAATCATTTGAAAGACCAAAAGTTCCCACCTCTACAGTAGTTAATTATAGTTTAAATGGGTGTTGAAAATGCTGAAGCCCACTTTTCCCCATCATAGTGCCCTCCAGAGGTATTGGATCACAGTGCGTATCAGCTCCAGCCAACATAACCAATGGCCTACCATACCTGAAGCTGAAATCCAAAGCATCTCAAGGGTATCAGCGTGAGGAATGGTCATGAAGTCCAAACCTCTTCCATGTTTTAAAAATCCATATAGTTCTAGGTCACTAGTTCCTCTATTTAACTGCTCTTATCCTTAACAGGTTAACGACCCTTTCCTAATTTACTACCCTTTCCTATTTTAAGCTCGTTAGTTCAAGTCATGCCATCTGGGTAGGAAAGAACAAGCCGTCACTTTCTTTTGCGTAACATCCATTCATGTATTTGGAGCTGTATTCCCTGCTGTACAGATGCACAATGCAAGACTACAGTGATAGTTGGGTTAGAAAGGTGCTTTCATGGCACACACTCCTTGAGTCAAATCTCATCAGGCTACCCGGTGCACCTGCAGAGTTTGCATGGACTGACCCCACCTGTCCATAGAGCACAAGGTGTGCCATACCAGGTGCAGAAGGAGCAGCATTCAATAGGAAAAAGGTGAAAAATCCCATACTGCATTCTTTGTGCATGTCTACTGAGTGTGTCAAATATTTGGCCAAATAGGAAGTGAAATCACGAGGAACATTGTTAAATGAACTGGGTCATTTTGTATACAGGCATACAGAATTATCCATTCAGGACGGAGTTCAGCATAACCTGTTCTGCCCAATTGCCCTCAACAATGCCAATACCCAGTGCTTACAGGAGTACTTAATTTAGCTCCACCATGATTAGGAGACTGATTTTGTTACTCTTTCCAAAAACAGTTGCAATAAAAAAGCAACTAATATTGGAATAAGTCTTCCTGATACACTTCTTTTAAAGGCTCAGCTGAAGATTATAGGTAAGAGTAGCACAACTGAATGAGTGAAGCACTAGAATGCTGAAGAGTATATTTGTCAAATGTGCTTGGATGGCACGGGAGAAGGCCAGACTTGCTCTAAGGGAGATGACTATGAGGAATCCTGCTTAAAGGTACATCTGCGCATACCCTAAGGGAGCTGGGACTACGGAAGTTCTTGAATGAACCTGTTGTGTGAACTGATCATGTGACTGCTGGTGTGAGCAGCATCGTAAGGTGGGATTGATGTCTGCAGGTTACAACTGGACTATTGGCTCCTAGCTGAGTAAAGAAGCCCAGAAGACTCCATTTCAGTTCCACCTCTGGTTAAACCTTTGTGATGGCAGGACTGCTGAGACAGGTCAGCGGTTCGAGTCCAGGGAGAGCAGGTTGAGCTCCCTCTGTCAGCTCCAGCTCCCCATGCAGGGACATGAAAAAAGCCTCCCACAAGGATGGTAAAACATCAAACATCTGGGCATCCCCTGGGCAACATCCTTGCAGACGGCCAATTCTCTCACACCAGAAGCGACTTGCAGTTTCTCAAGTCGCTCCTGACATGGAAAAAAAAGTTCTATCTCTGACAGTATTTAAAAGCTCTGCGCTACTATTGTCTGGAGACTGGAGTGCTTGAGTGCTGTCACTATGAAAAAGACCTACAAGTCTACGCAGGGTACTAATTGTGGTCCTTAACATTTCAAATACTGGCATTTTTTTAAAGGTGTGATCACCTGTAATCCATATCAGCACATGTTCCAAGTAAAGTAGCCAGGGATTTGGCAAAATAATTATGTGAGTGAATGGGCTATGCACTCACAGTCCTGTTTAGAGAACTAAGGAGGACTGCAGTTGCCTTCGTAGAGGAGGGAGTGGTAGGATACAAATGTCCCACCCAAGTCTTAGTATTGCTAAAATTGTTACTCTACCCTTCATAACAAGAATTTCAGTACTCTGTAGTTTAGCCTTCTCTAATCTAATGTCTTCCAGATAAGTTGGACTGTAACTCCCAGTATCTCCCAGCCAGCATATTCCCTGCTCATTCTGGCAGCCAACAATGGGAATTGTACTTCAACACATCTGGAAGACATAGGCTTAGAGAAGTAACCACAGCAGCTAATGTTAAAACGCATGAATAATTCATCTGGTTACTGGCAAATACACATTTTTCTTCTGTCTCTATATGGCTTCATCTTCCTCGCTATTCTTGCAACATTTGCACTTGTGTGGATGGAATATAAAACAGGTATGAAGACACAGAAATGATGTTATGAAAACCCCCATGACATACCCTTTTCTACATAGTCATCTGGATTTATCCTTAAATACACCCCAGTATCTCAGCATGGGATATCTTTAGTAGTCAAAACAGCTATCTGCCTGTGACAAAGATTTGTCATTTTTGCCATTTGGGAGCAAAACAGCCATAGCAAGCAAAACAGCAGGTTTCTCTAGGTCAGTGGTTCTCAACCTGGGGTCCCCAGATGTTTTTGGCCTACAATTCCCAGAAATCCTAACAGCTGGTAAATTGCCTGGGATTTCTGGGAGTTGTAGGCCAAAAACATCTGGGGACCCAAGATTGAGAAGCACTGCTCTAGGTGGAACAAATTGCTCTCAGATCAACAGTCCTACACGAGGATTGCCCTCTTGTGCCCATCCCTTTATTTTGGGAGCAGAAGATCCTCCCTCTTTTTCTTGACTATTGACAACAAGCCTATTCCTGTATTTTATCATTTCAGCTCCACATAGTGAAGTCTGCAAAGCAAAACAAAGCAAGAGAGGTAAGACAGCCCTGACAAGGGTGTAAGTGGGAAGGGAACCAAAATATGCCTCTGGGTGGCTGTAATTTAGTAGATACTAGAAGTTAAACAGGGCCTTTTTTCAGGCCACCCTGTCTGTCCCAGAATATATATATCATACGCTTGGGCCCAGTAAACAAAAGCCAGATGTAGAAGTAGTTGGGCAAAAGTTGGCTGTATCGAGGACCAAGATTTAGGCTCCATCTACACTGGATGATATGGCAATGTAGATCCAGTCTTAGTTTACATAATTTACTCTACTTTCACCCTTGAATCTGAGGATCCAAAGTAGGTGGGAAAATGCTAGTGCTTTCACACTGAAAGAGCAGCTTGCCAGATTTATACCTCACAGTCCACACTCTACTAAATGAGGAGTAGGCAACTGTGGAAGGCTAGGGGGGCACATTTGTTCCCCAGGAGAACTCAGGAAGCCATATTCTCCAATGTAATCACCCTACCGTTTGCCAGTAAATACACTTCAAGGGATATGGAGGAGTTCATACTATGTTACCATGTTTTGGAGTCTTCCTGAAACCCTAGAGGGCATTTTGAAGCAACCCCCATTTTCTAATGGCAAAATTTAATTTAATTTATTTATTTTAAGTATTTCTGCATTGCCTTCCAGCCCACAAGGCTTCCAAGGCCATGAACATATAAAAACCAATTAAAACAACATAGAGATTGACCCGTGTGGCCTCCAAATGTGGTGGAAATACTCTGCACACCCCCAGATGTCTTTTTGAGAGCAAAAATCAATTTTTTATAAAAACTTCTTTTGAAAAATAAAAAGGGTTCTTTCTGTGGACCAGAAAAATAGGTCTGTGGGTCACATGCAAACCACAGGGTACATTTTGCCCACCCTGCATTAATCCTTGATCAGCAAAAGACAGAGCACATGCCTAAGTGCACCTGAGATAAATTTGTTTTTGTTTTTATTGACATCCCAGCCGGACTCCCAAAGAGCCCAAGACAGTATCACCGAAATGTGGCCAGGCAGGCATAAAGGGATCGTGATGGGGCCAAATGAGTTTTAGTAGATTGAGTAAGAAACTTATTCTCTTTTACATTCTTGGTACCAGAAGGAACATATCTTCAGACCTGAGACTTGCAAAGCTTTAGAAGCAATATTATCTGCAACATATTACACTTTGAGGTGGGGCGATTAAATGACAATCTGTTATGGTTTCTTACAAAATGATTTTTTTTCACTTGTTATGTCAAAGGCTATTTTAAATGGGGAATTCAGGAGCATTTCCTCCCTGGATTTTAAGATTTAGTTTCCCCACTCCCAATTTATGGCATCCCCTAGTGGTGCAGCAGGTTAAACTGCTGAGCTGCTGAACTTGCTGACCAAAATGTCAGTAGTTGAAATCTGGGGAGTGGGGTGAGCTACCGCTGTTAGCCCCAACTTCTGCCAACCTAGCAGTTTGAAAACATGCAAATGTGAGTATATCCATAGATACCACTCAACCGGGAAGGTAACAGTGCTCCATGAAGTCATGCTGGCTACATGACATAGGAGGCGTCTACAGACAATGCCGGCTCTTCGGCTTAGAAATGGAGATGAGCATCACCCCCCCAGAGTCAGACACGACTAGACTTAATGTGAAGGGGAAACTTTACCTTAATATACTGTATTTTTAAAGCAGTGACCAATGCTAAGAGGTTAGCCATTTTCATTAAAATTTCTAAACTCTGCACCAGACTCAGTTTATGACCAAAGGATTACAGAGCCTGCCAGAAAACAGCCCTAAAATCACCCAGGACAGTCGTTTTCTGTATCTGGCTACTAGTTGCTTGCTACAGTGGCAAAGATGAATGGAGGAGATAAGGGAAAGGAGCAACAATTGCTGTATGGACATGACTTGCCACTCACCATGGTTTTAAGAATGATAATCTGATGGGAAGACCCAGGAAGGAACATTACCCCCTTCACCATGGAACATTCGGTAGGACTAAACCTGAAACAAACCCATGGATCCCTGAAACAGACCCTAGACAAGGTTAACAACCATAAGTGCAGCTAAAAACACATCACAATCTTACGTTCCACACAACTTCCCCCCACCCCACCCTACAAATCCCATTTGCCCTGAATTAGTGAAAACAATACCAAGCCCCATCTTTTCCCTTGTTGCATTATCCCTGCTATAGCAACTTTCCAAAGGAAAGGAGAGTTTTGTGGTACAAGTTAAAAAAATACTATTAAATAATACATCTGTAATAAAATTATATACCTTTTTTCTTTATAGCCATTTCTTTTAAAAGCTAAAATTGCTCTATTTTTTTTTCTTTTTTTCCCTCCTTTTCTTTTTGGCTGGTGAAGTAACAGCGAAGAATTCTCTCTTTTTTTTTTTTTTTTCTTCATGAATGGATAAAAGTTTTGTGCACGTGATACAAGAAATCAAATTATTTACAGTAAGTGATTAGGAGTCTTTGAAACTTACAAAATGAAGCGGGAGGGAGAAGTGGAAACAGAACAGAGAGGAAAAGAGAGAGAGAGCATCCAGAAAGCATTGGTCATGGAACAATCAACATAAGCAAAATCTTCATTACAAAAGGTGTTGAATGGCACATGGCCTGATCCAGCTAAGAAATTCCATACTTGTAAGTAGGGCTGCCGTACAATTATCACTTTGCCAAACTGGGAAATTCAGGCATAAATTGGGAGTGCAATTCAGAGGCATAACTAAATGCGCAACTCAGTGGTGATGCATTATCTGCATTGCATTGCTCCATATTTTTTTTCAATGTGTGGGCATCCCCAATCTACTCCCCCCCCCCCCAAACAAATCACAGTTTGTTTATACACAGAGCTGGATTGGAGCCGATGTGCACTAGCAAGTGAGGATTGCATGTAATTCCTTTCCATCTTTATACAAGATTACCTCTCATACAGACGGTTAACTAAGAATGGGAAAGATGGAGAAAGGATGAAAGAAAAAAGAAATGAACTGACTAGGAAATTAAGGCATTAACAAAAATGACTTAAAGGCACACTTTTTTTTCCTTTCTCCTCAATTTAGGGGCTTCTCCTAGAGATTAATTCAGAACTATACATACTGAGGAGCAGTTTAACAGCTGAGATGGATCAGGAGAAAGAGAGATTTAGGCAACGAAGGTAAGATTAAACCCAAAAATGTTTGGATCTAATTTTGGTGAGAGGGAGAATGCAGTTCACAGAATAGACGTTTGGGGAGTTAGGGAAAGGATTTCTGAAAGCACGCTTTAGGGGATGGCAAGATTTAACTTTCAATCCCATCTTCATATGCTAATGATCCAGAGAAGAGTAATGGCATTTCAGGAACAGGTTTGGAAATATGGGACAGGGCTGGCCTAACCCAACAAATAGGCAGTACTGATAGCTGCCCAGTGCAGCAAAATCCCAGGGGCTCCAGGCTACATGGGAAATCTCTCTCTCCTGCCCTAGACCTTTGAAAAATGTGAAGGAGTAACTGTGAGGCACTCCCCTCAAGCTTTCCTGATTGCAAGCTATCTCCATTCACATCACGCAAATGTATGGAGGAGAAAATGTCCATTTGCTTATATGGAGTACTAAGGAAAAGGAGCTGAACCTTGGAACACCTGTGAGGAAGAAATGCTGCTCCTTCTCTCACTACCATTTACATACAGTCTGTGTATTTGTTGGGTTTTCACCCATGGCAGCAACTTGGCATAAGTCAGCCTTGGGAAGGGAACGAATTTGATCGTGGGCAGGGAGAGGCGGGTGGCAACGATGACTAAGAAGGGGTAACAGAGGAGATGCCCATGTGGAAGCCCCCCACCCACCATGTCCCTCACAAATCCCCAAGAGTTAGGACAAAATGGTGATGCTGGTGAGAACGAATGCCAGGAGACTGACGCGAGCACGCGCACGCACACACACACACATACACACACGGGCTCATTTTGTCCAGTGCAACTCTTTTTTTCTTTTTTTCCTTTTTAATAGATAAAAAATTATTTTGTTGTTGTTGTTGTTGTTGTTATTTTAACGAACTCACAAATGACCAATTAACCCACAGAGTGACAGCTACACAAATTGAAGTCTTGGCACTTCACAACACGGGTTCGGCCTCCATTGGCTCTTCTGCTTGTCTGTAGAGAGGAGGAAGAAGGCAAAGAACAATTGGTTAGTTGCCTTCCATTTTGTCAAAGATATAGCTATTATTTATTTTATTTATTTATTTCATGCATTTCTACCCCGCCCTTCTCCCCCCGAAGGGGGACTCAGGGTGGCCTCACACAAGCATCATATGATGCTATCAGCATATAAACAATCAAAATTACATTTAAAACATTAAAAATAATTAAAAACACATTATACAATTTATTAAACAATAAATTAAACATGCCAATTAAAACCAAATCCAAGTCAGGGTAAATCCAATATCACAGATATCCTAAGTTTCTTTCCAATTGCCACTGTCCGCTAATCGAACGCCTTGGTCCCAAAGCCAAAGCTACTAGCTGGGATGTCACCAAATATTCTAAAATCCCTTACTGTTGGGTTTCATCCCTGGACTGCACAGTCTCTTGTGTCATCAAGTTTCCAGACCTCAATGAGGAGCTAGACTAGAGATAGTATTAGGCTGATGGATTCCTCCGTCCCCCCACTCCCATATTCCTATGTATGTATCCCAAAGAGGGCTTTGTCTTCACTCTTCCTCCTTGCCACTGTCTCCTCCCCTTTGATGGTGTAGGAATGGAATTCTGTGAGGGAACTTCCTTTTTAAAGGTTTTTTTAGTGCCCTGGGTTGATCACGCAGTCTCTCCACCATTTTCCAGTCTCTTCTGCTTTTTCTTTCTACCTATGAGGATGCACATTTTGCCTCTTTATAGGCAAAATGTAGCTGCATGGACTTTTTACCCTTTTACATCTTTAGAAGATGGGATTTGGCAAACTAGTTAGCTCCAAGGCCTTTTCTATCAAGAATATATTTTTCTTACTTCAATAAATACTTTTGATCCCAAAGTTCTGACTCTGCAATCCTAAGCCATGAAGAAGAATAGAAGCCTATTCCTGCTCACCACATGTAAGTGTCTGCTGGTTATGAAGTTTACGTCTGGTACTCTGCTATATTTATGGTGGAATCACACCAACTGAGGGTTATTTTTGAGCCTAACAGCTCAGATTCCCCAACTTTTACCAAACATCGAATACAATGTTTAGGATAACAGATAGAAAACAGCAGAACACAGGAAGCTGTTTTATACTGAGTTGGACAATTAGTCCATTTAGCTCACTATCAAAAAGGTAGAAAAATATTTTCAGAGGCAGAATTCTTTCTTAATCTTTCTAAAACATCCCTGGTATTCTCTAGTGGTTGCACATCTAAGTCATAGTCAAGATAAACCCTGCTTAACTTCTGAAATCAAAAAGGGATTAGATGTGTTCAGGGCAGCACAGCAGAGTACATTACATCCCTTCCTCAAAAAGCCACTTTTCAAACAAAGAGAGTGAGATAAAACATATTAAGGGAAGATGACAAGACAGCACACATGCAACCAATTTATTTAGCTTGCTTGTCATTATTTTCTTAAAGGATGTGTGATTAATGTAACTTTGTTTTATATTTTGTATAAAACTGTTTTCTTTAATATGTTTTTTTCTATGACCTTTCTATGGAGTTATGATAAAGCACCTGTTCCCTTGGTCTCCATCCATCCTACTAAACATGCCACTGAACCAGGATTGTCTGCTTCTCCAAAAGGAAGCAGAGAGCCCTGAGAGGACCTGGCTATTATCCTCTCCCAAAAAAGAGACTTTTATTTCAAAGACATGCACAAGATGCAGTTCAAAATGTCTTTGCAATATACCCAGATATGGTATAATCTTGGTTGTATGGTCTGCTTCAGGAACCAGAGAGAGACAGAATCAAAGCCCTGAAATATTGTTACGAGGGATTGCAAGCGTAGGGGGAACTCACCGGACATCACACTCTGTTTTACCCTGCTCTGTATCCACTGACAGTGATGCCATGGCACTGACGGTCTCTGCCTCTTCGGCCTCACCCTTCTGTGCCTCCAGCAAGGAACAGCCAACAAGCGCTGCAGAACGTTTCAATGAATTCCAGTGCTTGCCTAGAAAACAAGGGGCAATGTGTCAGCTATGGTAATGCAGGAATGAGGGATCAACTTGTGAACATCTGAAGCAGCTTTCTAGAACAATGCACTGTCTCCCTTAGACCGTAAACACATAGAATCATAGAGTTGGAAGAGACCACTTGGGCCATCCAGTCCAATCCCCTGCCAAGAAGCAGGAAAATCGCATTCAAAGAACCCTCAACAGATGGCCATCCAGCCTCTGTTTAAAAGCCTCCAAAGAAGGAGCCTCCACCACACTCCAGGGCAGAGAGTTCCACTGCTGAACAGCTGTCACAGTTAGGAAGTTCTTCCTAATGTTCAGGTCCTTTCCTGTAGCTTGAAGCCATTATTCTGTGTCCTAGTTTCCAGGGCAGCAGAAAACAGCTTCCTCCCTATGACTTCTCCTAACATATTTATACATGGCCACCATGTCTCCTTTCAGCCTTCTCTTCTGTAGGCTAAAAATGCCCAGCTCTTTATGCCACTCCTCATAGGGCTTGTTCTCCAGACCCTTGATCATTTTAGTCACCCTCCTCTGGACACATTCCAGCTTGTACACATCGCCCCTCAATTGCGGTGCCAAGAATGGGACATAGTATTCCAGGTGTGGTCTGACCAAGGCAGAATAGAGGGGTAGCATGACTTCCCTGGATCTCAACACTATACTTTAAAATCCTATTGGCTTTTTAAGCTGCCGCATCGCATTGATGACTAATGTTTAGCTTGTTGTCCATGAGGACTGCAAGATCTTATTCATATGTACTGCTGTCGAGCCAGGCATCGTCCCCCATTCTGTATTTTTGCATTTCATTTCTTCTGCCTAAGTGGAGTATCTTGCAGTTGTCCCTGCTGAACTTACCACTTTCTTTAAACCACACCACATTTTGTCTGAACCCAGTAACTCAAGCTCTTTGTCTCCAATAGCTTAGTCCCCATGCCTTACTGCTGAGCTAAGTAACTGAAGGAGGAGAGAATTGGAGGCATACCTTCTGGCCCTGGGACCCTCTGCAAGCCACAGGGAATGCTAAAAATCCATACTGCCACTATTGAAGGTCTATAATTCTGACAAGGGGGTTTTGTGTTAACTAATCCAGAGGAACTATATAATTGATTCAACAGGTGAAGTGATGATCCTGGAGGCTTCCAGGAAAGGTAATTTATCTTTTCTTAAGTCAGGAAAAGGGTGTTCTGGGGATTAAGGGCCACCAAACTTGCCTTGGGGGACACATGTAACCGCAAAGCCACACTATGGACATCCTTGTCCTACTGTAATAAAGTGCGAGTATCACTTGTTAAAATAAATGCACATCATTCCCTTTTTAACTTTGGAAAAACACCATAACAGGACAAGATCATCAGCATTCTGCCCTATATCAGCAATAAAGGGGGGAAAGGCTTTTCTGTCAGTCAACAGATTAAGGATGCAGGGATCAACATATTTTGATCAATCTGGGCCAAAAATTGTTCTCGTTGTGATAACCCTCCCCACCCCTGGTAGCACAATAGGTTAAACCCTTGTGTCAGCAGGTCTGCTGACCAACAGGTCCGCGGTTCAAATCCAGGGAGAGCAGGTTGAGCTCCCTCTGTCAGCTCCAGCTCCCCATGCAAGGACATGAGAGAAACCTCCCACAAGAATGGTAAAATATCAAACATTTGGGTATCCCCTGGGTAACGTCCTTGCAGACGACCAATTCTCTCACACCAGAAGCGACTTGCAGTTTCTCAAGTCACTCCTGACACACACACACACACACACAAAACTTTCATAGGGAGGAAGCACAATGCAATCTCACAAATGATTTCTGTGAACTGGCTGTAGTCTCTGCCCCCCAAAACTTACTCTGGATTTCAATGACATTCTCCAATGTGGCCACGGCATTTGCATTGGGCTTTTGTTGCAACAGGGTTTGATCCAGTTGTTCCAGCTGTATCAGAGAGAAAAGGGAGAATATTAATTAAAAAATACAAGGATTCGGAAGTGGCTGTAATTCATGAGAAAGGGAAGAGGGAAGGAAAGCCAACAAAGAAAAACACTAAGAAAAAAAGAAAGAGAAGATGGCCAAAGAAAGGCCAAACAAATGTAAGACACAACTCACTTTTCTGTGAGGGTTTTGATACTACCCATATAAATATTCTGCTGTTCTGTAATAGTTTCTTTTATTTATATTCAAATCTATAGCTCTTTATCCCCTAATATTATTGCTTTCTTTTTCTGAAGTAGTAATAACAAAAATATGATGTAGCAACTGGCTGTATTCTCACTTTTTCTATTATTGGATGAGTTTGCCTAAATTGTAAGGTATTTATTTGGGGTGGTGGTGGTGTGGGGGAGAAGGTATATTACACAAAAGAAGGGATTCTAGCAACCTTTCAAATGTGAATTGCCTGTCCTGGAGGCTTCGAAAAGAGGAACTCTACCTTCTCTTGGACCTTTTGTCCAAAAAAGAACTGTACTGAGGGCCTAGAAAAGAACCATAAAAATACTAGCTGCATGCAGCTTCAGGGTGATATATTACCCAAGCTAAAAATGTACTTTAAATATTAAAATACCTTTATGATGTATTTATTGCCTTCTCATCCCCTAATAGCAAGTTTTCTGAGGAATGCCAGAGTTCTGTAAATGTCATTGTTATTTCAAATACTATAGGTTAATATGAGAGTCCCCGGTAGCACAGTGGGTTAAACCACTGAGCTGCTGTATTTGCAGACCAAAAGGTCGCCGGTTCGAATCTGGGGAGCGGGTGAGGTCCTGTTGTTAGCTCCAGCTTCTGCCAACCTAGCAGTTCGAAAACATGCAAATGTGAGTAGATCAATAAGCAGGAAGGTAACAGCTCTCCATGCAGTCATGCCGACCACATGACCTTAGAGGTGTCTACAGGCAATGCCGGCTCTTCGGCTTAGAAATTGAGATGAGCACCATCCCCCAGAGTTGGTCAAAACTGGACTTAATGTCAGGGGGAAACCTTTAACCTATAGGTTAATATATTAAATTATAACATCTTATGATATCAAAGCAGTACAACTATTCTAGCTTCGATGTAAACATTAAGTACTGTATATATTGAAATTTCCCTCATGTTTCTGGTTTTTTTTCTGGGGGAAAATTATTAGGTTTTCTCATGTTTACAAACTTCTGTAATTTGTAAATCCCTGTTTTCTCAACTATAATATTACTGTGTACTAGTGTTTGATTCTCTCTTCTTTTCTTCTGCTGTATGATTAAATTCAGATTGCAAGGCCCTCTGAGAAGGAACTTGATTTCAAGTATATCATAAATCTTCACATACATAGATATAATCGCATTAAACAACTAATAGTACTAATAATTTTTTCAACACATACTTGATTTTCCCCTGAACTTCAGCAGTTAAAAAAACACACAGTCTCATTTTCTTCCATGAAACTGGGCAGCTATTCCAGTTTCCAGCTGTGCCTTGTGCAGATGCCACTAGTGAGATGGACGTTGGAAAAGCATATTTAAACAGATGCTGACGTACATACATATGGCAGAACAGATATGCCTTTATTCACCTTTCCCACCCCCCACCATCAATGCCGTCATTGCCAAGCCACTCTTTCAAAATAGGAGCAGGCTCACAGCCAACCGTCAGCCGCAATCCTTGGACCTTGCCCCCCAGTGAGCCTTCCTATTCGCTTTCCTCCTGCCAGCTATGCTCACCTCAAGGCCAAGCAAGGCAGAGACACAGGCTTCTGAGGCATCGCAGATGGCTGTCAGATCGTGACCCCCCTCCAATGCTAAGACCACACGTCCACCCGCCAGTTCCATCAGCTGCTTGGTCAGGTGCCCAAAACCTACACAGTCAGGAAGAAGAAAATGCCAGTTATCATCCTTTGCTGCTGGAGCTACTGCACTGCCCTTTGCCTTCTTTTGCAGCTAGAAGACTAAATCCAACAGCATGCTGGAGCAGTTGTGTGCAAGCAGAAGTAAAAATAGCAATCCAAACATTATATGTTATGCAACCACTTGCACAATGGAAAGTGCACTAACTCTGCAAGCATCTAACTGACAATGCAACCGTAACATCATTAAATACACGCTAAAGACTGGAAGGAACCATGGATGAATTTTCTTGAGAAAACAATGGCCACAACACTTTGAAAGAAACGTTCAAGCTATTCAAAAATGAGGAAGTGAAGGGAAATGGCCAATTAGCCATTATCCATTATCCATAGTTGTATCTGTGTTATTTTTTAAAAATATATCCATATGCCTTTATCCCCATCTAACGTGTTGCTTGGGAAGCAGACAGATCATTTGTGCAGAAATTAGCCCTTATTTATTTCCCAGCATGGGATCCATGGTAGGACACTTGCCCCACAACATCAGTTTGCTAGCTCCATTTAGCCAAATGTTAGCCATTTAGCCAAATTTTAACATTACATTACATTTAACACAGGTAAAATTTAGAACTACATTAAGCAAATGTTGGCCTGGGTATGGCCATACTCTGGATGGAAACCCCCTAAGAATGAAAACACAAGTAGAGTGCAACTATATTAAAGGTTAACACAAGACTGGGTTATGTCACTTGAAGTAAGTACACACCTCTACTTAATTGGGACACATTTCTGCAGCTCCCTCACACAGCCAGCACATATGATCTACTCCAATGTTTCTCAACCTGGGGGTTGGGACCTCGGGAGAGGGTGTCAGAAGGGTCACCAAAGATAATCAGAAAACACAATATTTTCTGTTGGTCATAGGGGTTCTGTGTGGGAAGTTTGGCCCAATTCTCTCATTGGCAGGGTTCAGAATGCAGTTTGATTGTAGATGAACTATAAATCCCAACAACTACAACTCCCAAACGTCAAGGTCTATTTTCCCAAATTCCACTGGTGTTCACATTTTATCATATTAAGTATTCATGCCAAGTTTGGTCCAGATCCATCATGGTTTGAGTCCACAGTGCTCTCTGAATGTAGGTGAACTACAACTCCCAAACTCAAGGTCAATGCCCACCAGACCCTTCCAGTATTTTCTGATGGTCATGGGAGTTCTGTGTGCCAAATTTGGTTCAATTCCATCGTTGGTGGAGTTCAGAATCCTCTTTGATTGTAGGTTAACTGCAAATTCCAGCGACTACAAATCCCAAATGACAAAATCAATCCCCCCCCCCCCCAACCTCACCAGTATTAAAATTTGGGCGTATCAGGTATTTGTGCCAAATTTATCCTGCATATCAGATATTTACATTATGATTCATAACAGTAGCAATATCACAGTTATGAAGTAGCAACAAAAAATAATGTTATGGTTGGGGGGTTACCACAACATGAGGAACTGCATTAAGGGGTCGCAGCATTAGGAAGGTTGAGAACCACTGATCTACTCCTTCTCAAACTGAGGCGCAAACCACTCTCCCATATGCCCCACACTCACATTTGGCTGTGACAGAATATCCACCCAGTGGAGACAGGTGTCCCTCCACAGCATCGAAGCCAGCAGAAATGAGGACCACGTCTGGGGAGAACTCATTGGCTATCGGCATCACCACGGTCCTGGGAGAACATAAAGTAGCCCTCAGATTTCTCGGAGGAGGAGGAAGCCATAGCAATACACCAGCAACAAATAGTCTATTCCCCCACCACATCATTCTTCCCACCTTTCTCTTTATGGTTTTCCCAATATGCTGATAAAATCAACTCCCACTTCTGAAAACCATACCAGTCACCCTATCACAAGACCCTAATTCTGAATGACAACTGCCTCTGGGAAGAAATTTTGAGAAAAATAGCCATAGAGAATCACAGAAATGGCACAGAGACTGAGATATGTACTACAGTGCAATGTCTTCAAGGTGCCCAAGATTATTTTGTTGTTTTGCCTTCTGGGAACATTTCAGGAGCAAGAAAGGGGTTGATATGAAATAGGGATACTATACTTATCTCAAATGATTTCTACAACGTAAATTCTGCTACATTTGACCATTTTTGTCATGCACACCTTATAATAGGAATTACATGTAACTTTCTCTAGTGCATTAGCCGCCCTCTCCAAATATTGGAAGGCCATATCCCCCCGTATGCCTGTCCCTGCTGGAAAAAACGATGCTCTAGGGCAGGGGTCCTCAAACCTTTTAAACAGAGGGCCAGGTCACAGTCCCTCAAACTATTGGAGGGCCGGATTATAATTTGAAAAAAAATGAATGAATTCCTATGCACACTGCACATATCTTATTTGTAGTGCAAAAACCACTTAAAAACAATACAATAATTAAAATGAAGAACAATTTTAACAAATATAAATTTATTAGTATTTCAATGGGAAGTGTGGGCTTGCTTTTGGCTGATGAGATAGGATTGTTGTTGTGTGCTTTTGAGTCATTACAGACTTAGGTTGACCCTGAGCGAGGGCTGGGTAAATGACCTTGGAGGGCCGCATCTGGCCCCTGGGCCTTAGTTTGAGGACCCCTGCTCTAGGGGATTTGGGGGCATTTTCACCAAGTCTGGGGGGTTTCCTAGGCAATTTCAGGCCCATGAGAAGCCTTTGATAAAACAGGTAGAAGTCACTTCCTATTTGCTTTCAGTTTCAAAGTCTCTCCTGAGCCTTAAGCTGAACCAACCCCACCTCTCAAATGTAGTTAAAATTCCACACATATAGGGCATTATATGCTATTTTGAGTTAATAAAATGTTTTTTGTTTTTGCTAAATCAGGAGGTATGCTAATAAGCAGAGCCAATATAAAAGCTCTGCTGAAAGACTACTCCCCTTCATCCTGTCCTTTTTCTTTTTGTGGTATGCCTTTTTTGAATTATGAACTTGTATATGGGGAATTTCTTTCCCAGGTCAGCTATTCCAGGTATCTTTTTTGACTGAGGAGTAAATACTTCAAACAAATGAAGCAGGTCCTCGACATAAGTAAAATTTCTCTACGTTTTCAATCATGAAATACCAGAGGATCATTGGTGTCCACGTTTTCCTTGGCACATAATGTGAAGTAGGCTAGCCAGCTACACAGAAGGGGTCTCAAGAGGAAAGAGATAAGGAGATAGCAAGCCACTATGTGCACACCCATGCACCAGGAGTAATTCTGGGAATGGTTGCAACAGGCTAGCCTTGTCTAACATAACATAAGAAAACTGGTGACAATTATACCAGTTATGAGTTGCAACCATAACAGACGTCTCCACCCTCGTATGGCATTCTCTTTCATACACAGTTGTTGGAGAGAATATGGTGGCACGAGAGATTATGCGGGCACCCATGCTGGAGAAAGCCCCACTCAAGCCCCACAATGGATAGCAAGCACTGGCAGCCCTACCGGAAGGCAGTCAGATACTCCACGTCACCAATGGGGGGGTCCACTCCACCAGTCCAGGCAATGTTTACATTGTAACCTACACCCATCCCACTGCCGACCTGGAAGAGAGAAACCTCACAGGTAACAAAAGCTGGCCCTCAGTAACCACTTAGACCATTCACAGAGCTAATGGGAGGGAACAAAGAGTAGTAATGGCATAAATCCAGGGCAGGAGCACTTCATGCAAACAGACTCCAGTGGGAATGCAGAACCACAGAGCAAAGGAAAGCAGGAGAGGCACCAGGGCAGGGCTTTGGAGGCAATGAATAACTAGTAACACAGCAACTTGTAACTAGTTAATTCAGAAAAGGTAACAAAAGTGCATTTCAAAAGCAACACAGTAAGTAAGGTTGACATTACTTCACTGTTGCAACAAGTAACAATTTCTAGTCAAAGGTTACTCTTAAGGTCACTTTAGAGTAGGCATGGGCAAATTTCGGCCTTCTGGGTGTTTTGGACTTCAACTCCCACAATTCCTAACAGACTTTGGTGAGTCGCTAGAACAGACATGGGCAAACTTTGGCCCTATTAAGCGGCTGAGGGGGTAAAGGAAGAGGCCTGAGGCTGTTAGGAATTGTGGGAGTTGAAGTCCAAAACACCTGGAGGGCCAAAGTTTGCCTATGCCTGCTTTAGAGGCATTTTGATATGTATATAAATGTGTCATGTCTTATCCATAATGTTTTTCTTCCTCCAAACAGTAAGAGAAAAGTTATAGAAAAGCATAAGCACCGAAACAGGTAACGTAAGTCACATTTCCATCATTGTGATTGTAACGGCTTGAACCACAATGGATAAAGGAACATATTACTTTATAAAAGTAATTTCCAAGCTCTGCAGTCTACTGGGGAAAATACTAGCCAGCATCAAAACACAGAACTAGAAAAGAAGGGAAGGTATTTGCTATATAGACTAAAAACATCCAGAGTTGCACCTAATATGGAAATGTTTCGACCACTAAACTTTTCACCCAGCTACTGGGCGACAAAATTTCTCCTAGCACAAAAGAGCTAATAAAGTTGTGAGTGGGGTGTTGCTGCTGTTGTACATCTTCAAGTCATTTCTGATTTATGGCAACCCTAAGGTGAACCTATCAAAAGTTTTTCTGGGGCTGGAAATGTGTGACTTGAACAATCAAACTCTAGTCTCCAGAGGCATAGTCCAAAACACAAATCAATACACCACGGGATGATGAATTAATTCTTTTCCCAGTCTATGGGTTCAACTGCTGTACTGGAAAATCAGAATCGTAAAACTGGAAGGGGTCTCATAGGCCATCAGGTCTAACCCCCTGCTTAACTCCAATTAGAGCATCCGTAGAAGAGATAATCATTATTTGCAGAACCTGGAAATTTCTTTAAAATACCCATGTTACCTGAGAGTCACAGCCCTCAAAAAGAAACATTTCCAAGCTGTGTTTGTCTAATTATTTCTCGAATGTTTTTCTCTTTTGCAGAGCCATTTAAGGGAAACGCTAATGTCTTTCCTTCCACAGGAGCTCAAGCAGGTTATTTCCCCCCTGCTGCTAGGAAAGCTCCAAATCAATCCCCTTCTGCATTTGTTTGGACATGTACTTGGTTCCAAATTCTATGTAGATTTTAGCAAGCTTTTGCTTGAAGAGAAGAGATCACAATCTCATTTTCTGGTGGTTTCAGACAAGTATTTCTTATAAATAATACAGTCAGGCATCAGAAATAACAAAAAAATGTTTGCACTCACCTCATCAGGAGCTCCACTGCCAGGGAAAAAATTGCCATTGTCATAGCGATGGAGAGAGATATATAGCACATTAGGGTCACTGTAGAATGCTTGTTGGGTGCCATTGCCATGATGGATATCCTACCAGAGCAAAGCAAACAAAGGGTCAATGAATAGCACCCCATCTCTCTAAGTCAGTGGTTCTCAACCTATGGGTCCCCAGGTTTTTTGGCCAACAACTCCCAGAAATCCCAGCCAGTTTACCAGTTGTTAGGATTTCTAGGAGTTGAAGGCCAAAACATCTGGGGCTCCACAGGTTGAGAACCACTGCTCTAAGTAAATGAAATCAAAAGGAAGTCTCAAATCAGTTAACAGAACTATGCTTTTATTTGCCAGCTGAGTTAAGTTAGCATTATTACTGATAAGGCCTCTAAGGCAGTGGTTCTCAACCTGGGATCCCCAGATGTTTTTGGCCTTCAACTCCCAGAAATCCTAACAGCTGGTAAACTGGCTGGGATTTCTGGGAGTAGTAGGCCAAAACACCTGGGGACCCACAGGTTGAGAACCACTGCTCTAAGGGGAAGATATTTCAACACTGGGACTCTAGAGCTGTAAAGGAGACACAGATTATAGTAGCAACACATCTAGTGAATACCAGTTGTGGAAAATCTGCTTTCAAGGTATTTGATGGAAACCTATTTTTGAAGGCAGAAGTTTGCTGACATCACATGTAACTCCATTCAGACCTGAGTTGACATTGCTTAATAAAGTAAAGTAAAGGTTTCCCCTTTATATTAAGTCTAATTGAGTCTGACTCTGAGGGGTGCTGCTCATCTCCATTTCTAAGCCAAAGAGCCGACGTTGTCCATAGACACCTCCAAGATCATGTGGCCAACATGACTGCATGGAGAGCCGTTACCTTCCTGCCAAGGTGGTATCTATTGATCTACTCACATTTGCATGTTTTTGAACTGCTAGGTTGGCAGAAACCGGGGCTAACTGTGGGAGCTCACCCTGTCCCACAGATTTGAACCCCCAACCTTCTGCTCAACAAGTTCTGCAGCTTAGCTGTTTAACCCGCTGTGCCACCGTGGCCCCATAGATTAATAGAGTGCCACAATTACTGCCTCATTGAAAAGTGGCAAGAGAGAAAATCAAAACTTCAGCTACACATTGAAATTCACTGGTGCCAATTATGGTCCTAAGAAAAGCTGGGCTGATGACTTTGGGTTGCTGTCAGACATGCCAAGATTTCAGCTTTCAATTGAAGACTGAAACATGAGAGCAGAGAGGGCAAAATGAGACCCTACCCAATCCACAATGAGGATTTTGCTGATGGCAAGTTTTTGCTGGAGAAGCTTGGCAGCTATGGCAACAGAGTTGAAGAAGCAGAAGCCCCTGTGAAATGAAAGAGGAGACAAGCATTAAAGGAAGCTGCCTTATACTGAATTAAAACATGTATTTGTCTAGCCCTGCATTGTCAAAAGTGGCTTTCTGAGGTTTTAAGAAAAACATATTGGGAGGGAGGTTTGCTCTACTTAGTGATATTGGGGATTAATCTACAAAGAGTGTGATCTGACACGTAACACTTCTGAAGGTTCCTTTAAGGATAGGAGAACTGGAAGGTGGAAGGTGGTAAGAACTGACATAGAAAGGAAAGAAGCAATTCCCAACCTTTAAATTAACTGAAAGACATGACATATATTTGTATCACCGGAGCAGCGTACAGAGAGAGGACATCCCTCCTGTTAGGCCAGCTCCACTGACTGCCCATCTGCTATTGAACACAATTCAAACTGCTGGCTTTAGCCTATAAAGCCCTAAGCAGTTCTGGCACAGCTTATCTGTCCAAATGTATCTCCCTCTATGAACCATCTAGGAAACTAAGATAGTCTGGGGAGGCCCTGTTCTTGGTCCCACCTCCTTCACAGGTGCGGTTGGTGGGAATGAGGGACATGGCCTTCTCAGTGGTGGCCCCTCAGCTGTGGAACTCCCTCCCCAGAGAAATCAGGTCAGCCCTCCCTCCTGACCTTCAGGAAGCAAGTAAAAACATGGGTCTGGGTCCAGGCTTTTGGCCAATAGTGCTGTGTAATAAGTAAAGTAGATCATCTCGGCCTACGAGCCCACGAGGACCTTGAGATCATCTGGGGAGGCCCTCCTCTCGGTCCCGCCTGCCTCACAGGCACGTCTGGCGGGGACGAGAGAGCGGGCCTTCTCGGTGGTGGCCCCCCGGCTTTGGAACTCCCTCCCTGCTGAAGTTAGACAGGCGCCCTCCCTTATGGCCTTTCGTAAGGGCCTGAAAACATGGCTCTTCGAGATGGCCTTCAACTGAGTGCTATGTTATTGGAAATGACGACCGGAATGGACTACGACTATGAGATTGATTATGACCCCATGATACGACGAAGCGGATTTTTAGTATAAGTAGTTGTTATGTAGTAGTAGAATGTTGTTACTGTCTTGATCTATTGTAAACCGTCTTTTTTATGTTGTTGTACACCGCCACGAGTCGCCCTAGGGCTGAGAGTGGCGGTTAATAAGTGCAAGAAATAAATAAATAATAAATAATAAATGTACAATAACAATCAGAACGGCCTTTGACAATGTCCTTGGATTACGTGATTTTAAAATTGTCTTTAATGCTTTAATGTTTTTGATTTATTTTAATGTACATGTCTATTTTTATTGTCTGTTGATAGCATCAAATTGCTGCCCATTGTAAGTCCCCTTCAGGGTTGAGAAGGGTGGGATATAAATATAGTAAATAAATAAATATTTGTATGTGAATCTGTAGCAATAACTAATCGCTATCTTCAAATTCCTCATTTTTACTATATACTCACATGGCTGTGGACTCCTCTGCATGGTGACCTGGTGGACGGATAACAGCAAATCCATTCTGCAGAATTAATTTTTAAAAGAAGAAAGGAAAAAGTGAGTGTAATTTTTGAAACTTTCAGCATAACTACTGGACAACAGAGCTCAGAGGCAGGAAGGACTTACTACAAAGAGAAGCGGTGCACTGGGCACAATTTACCTTAAGCTCCCCAGATGCTACTTTGAAGGCCAGCTCCACCAAGCAGCCAACAGCCATGCGGACTGCACTAGACGAGTGCATCTCATTCCACACTGTGTCGCTGTCAACCTGCCATGGAGGGTACAGATCAGAGCATGTGCAAAAGCTAAAGGGTGAAGGAAGGGAAAAGATTGATGCCTTTGTTCTAAGAGAAGCACCATCCAGGTAGCCTTCATTCAAAGACAAGCACAAAGGAAAGGAAGGAAAATGTGATGGCCTCAGAATTGTTGGACCACAGCTTCTGTCACCCCCAGCCAGCAAAGACATCTCGAAGGTTAATACAGAAGTCTTTACCAAGACTTAGCTGTATTTGAAATGGAAACGCCTAAGCTGTTAAACACAACAATAGTTAAGTAATTTGGAATATAATGTTGCTACTATAGTTTTTAAATGTGTTTTGTAGCCACTGTTCAATGTTATGCTATTTGTGTATGAGATTTATTTTAATTGCTTCGTATTAGTATTTGTATTTTGCTTCGTATTGTAATTGTTATTGCTTGTATCGATGTATTGTGGCCTCGGCCTCATATAAGCCACACCGAGTCCCTTGGGAGATGGTAGCGGGGTATAAATAAAGTTATTATTATTATTATTATTATTATTATTATTATTATTATTATTATTACTACTACTACAATTCCATCTAATGTACTGATTCACTATTTGTGACATCTCCCATTCTTAAGCTACTATATGTACAAAAGACCAGAACTTAAGATGGTGCCATGTGGGTAGGAGGGTTCTGGCAGATGTAGTCCAAAAAGAAAACTTTCTAATACTTAAAACCCAAAGGTTTTGCAAGGTGTTCAATGAACCCATAGAGCTTTCTCATGGCAAAGGATTAAATTTTGGAACCCCCTGACAAAGTAACCTCAGCTCACTCCATCCCACAGATGTTCAAAGACAAGTCCTTCTGTAATTGTAAAGCAGTACATTTTAATCTCTCTGACTTGTTAATCAAATATTTTACTTTTTCCACTTCCCTCTTTTAATGTTGTTTATTTTGTATTTTTTGTTTTTCTTGTTGACTACACCGTGCTGCCAAAATGTGTAAGTCACATTGGGAATTCCCTTCTAAAAACCAGAAACTATAGAACAAAGCTATAAGAAAAGGCTTAGCATTTTTTAAAAAAAAACCTGAAAGTTGACAGGTAGATGAAAGAAATGCAGAGAAATGTTCAATTTCTCAATATCGATTAAATGGCTGGCCTCATTACAAACATTATCAATCTGTCCGTCTCACTATAACTCACAGCAGAGTAAGCCAGTGCTTAACCATGGGATATTCTTCCTCTTCCATTTAGTGAGGCCATATGGGTAAAAGTAAAGGTTTCCCCTGACATTAAGTCTAGTCATGACTGACTCTGGGGGTTGGTGGTCATCCCCATTTCTAAGCTGAAGAGCTAGCTTTGTTCATAGTCACCTACAAGGTCATGTGGCCAGCATGACTGTGAAGCAGTACCTAATGAACTACTCACTTTTGCATTTTTTCAAACTGGAAGGTTGGCAGAAACTGGGGCTAACAGCAGGAGCATACCTCGCTCCCCAGATTCGAACCGCTAACCTTTCAGTCAGCAAGTTCAGTGGGCCCAGTGAGGCCATATCCCACATTAAAAGTAATAAAACTGCAACATAATAGATTTCAAACAGTTGTATTTAATAAGTTGCAGTTCCAATGCAATGTCTATTGGGAAAAGGAATAAATAACTTGTACTTTATAAGTAGTTACTTTGAAATTGTGTGTGAGAGATACTAACCCCAATTCCGCCACATGGAAGGACAGTGTACATCTTTTGAGTAAGAGGACCTATGAGAGAGAAACAGAGAATTAGATAATACACACAATCATCTCCAATTTTTCTCCCCTTTATACCCCAAATATACCATTCCCTCTCTATCAGAGGTTTCCAACCGGTGGATCCCCAGGTGTTTTGGCCTACAACTCCCAGAAATCCCAGCCAGTTTACCAGCTGTTAGGATTTCTGGGAGTTGAAGGCCAAAACATCTGGGGACCCACAGGTTGAGAACCACTGCTCTCTATATATTAGATTTTTTAAAAAATCTGTAGCAAAAAAATTAAAACTGTGTGATCTTCTAGAGAGAATACCCAGTAATTTCTTGCTGTCAAGTTTTTGCCGATTCAGAGGGCTGGTTCCATATAGTAATGTGTGATGTTCTGAATGGACTGTCTGGATTTCATCCAGTGTTGCTTTCCTGCCTCGAACTCTCTAGTAAAAACAAAAAGAGAGAGAGAGAGAGAGAGAGAGAGAGAGAGAGAAATTAGGGCAAAATGTAACTATTGATTTTATAAGTATGCTGAGAGACCATTTGACACCATGTCACTTTTAATGTTATTTTTTGTCAATGCAAATCTTTAAAGGTTGTCTTGATGTTCTCTTCGAACAATTACATGTCATTTTCAGTACAAAGATACTTTAGACTAGGTCCTAAAGAATCAGGAACCGCAGTGCACAGGGCAACTATAATTTCTAAAGCTTCCTATAAACTGATTAGCCCCATGAAAAGGAAAAAAAATGTTGCAGGAGCAAATTGAGAAACTGCAAGTCGCTTCTGGTGTGAGAGAATTGGCCAGCTGCAAGGACCCAGGGGACACCCTGATGTTTTGATGTTTTACCATCCTTGTGAGAGGCTTCTCTCAAGATCCCACATGGAGAGCTGGAGCTAACAGAGGGAACTCATCCGCACTCTCCCCGGATTCAAACTTCCAACCTTTCAGTCTTCAGCACAAGGGTTTAACTCAGGGGTCCTCAAGCTAAGGCCCGGGGGCCGTATGCAGCCCTCCAAGGTCATTTACCCGGCCCTTGCTCAGGGTCTGAAATGTCTGAAATGACTTGAAAGCACACACAACAACAATCCTATCTCATCAGCCAAAAGTAGGCCCACACTTCCCACTGAAATACTAATAATTTTATATTTGTTAAAATTGTTCTTCATTTTAATTATTATATTGTTTTTAAGTGTTTTTATACTACATATAAGATATGTGTAGTGTGCATAGGAATTCATTCATTTTTTTTCAAATTATAATCCGGCCCTCCAACAGTTTGAGAGATTGGGACCTGGCCCTCTGTTTAAAAAGTTTGAGGACCCCTGGTTTAACCCATTGCACCACCGGTGTGAGTGTGGCAAGTGAGGTTTACATATCTGTGGAATGTCCAGGATGGGAGAGAGAACTCTTGCAACATTCACATTTGCCTGAAGCAGACAAGAGTTCTTTCTCCCACCCTGGACGTTCCACAGATATATAAACCTCACTTGCCTAGTTTCCAACAGACGTCACAACCTCTGGGGATGCCTCCCACAGATGGAAGCAAAACGTCAGGAGAGAATGCTTCTGGAACATTGCCATACAGCCCGGAAAACTCACAGCAATCCACTACTATACTGTCTCTCCTATCAGAAAACTGATAGGAAGTCAATTCATTTGAAACGTAGTACTAGAGAGTATTAAAAGACAATAATGAAAGTGTTTTAGAGAAAATCAAATCTGAACTTGAGATAACACATTTCAAAGGGAAATGCAATAATGCTAAGTTAAAACAAAAGGCAACAGGGAAAGAAGAAAACTGTACCACAGGCAATTTTATTCAATCAAGGAAGCCATCATCCCGAGTTTACAAGATCTGAGCAGGGCAGCTGAGAACTAGATTTCTTTCTTTCTTAGCATTGCCATTAAGACAAAGATGACTTGATGGCAAAGAACAAAGAACAATACAGCCCCCTAGTACTCAGTGGAGCAGTGGGAAAATAGATAATCATTTTTTAAAAAGACAAGAAAAACACTCCAAAGATATAAATTTACATTATCTTATGCCAAAAACAATCACACATGAATGACCACCAGAAGAACTGTAAAAATAAATGGAAATGGATCAGTATATACTTCTGTCAGATACAGTTTAAATGCTTGTGAATGACCATGGTGTGTGCTGACTAAAACATCAACACAATACCAGCCAATTTATCATTTTCATCTACTAACTTATTCACAAATATGCAGAGGGTTGGACAGCTTATCAGTAACACTTTCTTTGCAGCTGAGTTATTCTTTCCCACAGGAGGTATTAAGTTAATATAGCAAAGTTAAACTATTTTTCTCTATTTATTTGAGTATTTGTTTCACATTCTATATGTAAGGTTATGATACTACTACCAATTACCTATGTTCTTTAATCTCCGTTGATATATTCTAAATATGACTAAATCTGAAACCCACCCACTAGGCTTATTTTGTATCCTATTTCAAATATCACACAAAAATAACACACCTCTTGGGTTTTACAGCCTTTTGGCTTTATTCTTTCCATTGTTCCAGTCATTTCCAGTTCATATGTGAATGTCTGCACCTCTGTCTCTCTATCTGTATGGGTTTTTTTTAAAAATGTATGGGTTTTGTCAGAAATACTAAAAATTAACTAGGTAATTTTAATTACAAAAATGTGAGTCAAGCACTGAAAGAGTTAAATGAATGCAATGACTCAGCAAAAGCAGGCATGTCTGTAGCCTAAGAGCCCTCAGTCTGTGAGAGATCTCAGTGTGAGAAGGCTTCAGTGTTAGTTTGCCGTCAGTCTGTGAGAGCCCTTAGTGTGAGAAGGCCTCAGTGTTAGGCCTTGGTGTGAGTAGACCTGGTGTGAGAACCTTCGGTGAGAGAAGCTCCAGGTTGAAGGCCTTGTGTGTGAAGGCTGCTGTTTGTAAAAAGCTACAGTGTGAAGCTCCTATGAAAGTTTGGTGTGAGAAGAGGCTCTGTGAGAGTGAAACTGTTTATCTGCATGAGAAAGAAGCCCAGCATGGAAGCAAAGAAAGAAGTGTAAAGAACTTTATATGTTTTATGGAAATCTTGTTCTTGTAAATAGTGCAACAATATTATTTTACTACAAAGAAAAGCCTCCTAAGGAAGATATAACACTGGTCTGTGTGTTTTTGTTCTTTTTATCACTTTGGGCTATTGGTGCTGGGTCACACTGCTAATAAGTTACTCTGTTATACATTCATGGGGGGGGGGTGTATTTTGTTAATAAGCCCACTCTCTCAACAGGTTTCAACATTACAAGCAGAGGCCTGAACAAATGCCATCCTCCAAGTCTGGTTGAAATGTAACTTCATGAGGAAGGCTGGATTAAGGGAGTTGGCACTTTAGGGCAGTTTAAATAACTGACGACTCCATTTGGGCAAAATGCAAATTCTGCTCACAGGCCCAGGGGAAGGAGGAACTGGTGTGTAGTGGTAGTAACACCTTGAAGGCCCTGGAGCATTTGCTCCAATTGTACTATTGATAAACCACTTTTGTTCCTCAGCTATGCCATCAAGGAACTGCAGTAGAATGGCAACTGCAGGACCATATTTTGCCTACCCCTGCTGCATACAGTTGGTTTTGATAAGAAAAACTGTTATCTGTTTAAATACCCAGATGCTCTTACTTGTTTGGTCATCAACTTTCAGCGAGTGGATTTAACTCAAGGATCCTGGTATACAAAGAGATTAATCAAATTCTCCCCTTCCCCATTTTGAAAAGTATGTCAAGGAAGTAAATGAGCAAAAGACTCACCCTCACAGCTAAATTTGAAGATGTGGCAGACATCAAGAGATTGCATAGTTGTTTTCCCCAGGAAGGTTCAGTACATAATTGATGTTCAGCCCAGGGGGGAAGTCAATATTCTTACAAATTCAATACACGTTCCTGCATGAAAAACGTAACAAAGTAACCTGCTTGAAAATTACTGGGATAGCAATGGGGGAGCACATATATGTTTTTCATGCAGGAACATGGGCTTTCATATTGTGTACAGGGTAGTGCAAAATTGGAAACTGTAGTTTTGTTCTTCACTATAGTCACCTACAGGATTATGTAAATTATTAATAATGCTTATATAGGCATGTTGACTCTCCCCCATATGCAGTGAGCCTTCCTGGGGAAAACAAAAAGTCTGTACATCCCAAGACTAGATCTTTACATACATGGTCACAGTGGGATCCATTTTTAGAGTTCCTTTCATGGTCATTGTCTTTTGCATTGGTTATACTGACTGTGATTGAATTCAGTTGCACATCTTTGTCTTTCTGCATGCTTTGTTGGATCTTCTTAACCAAATTGTTTCCAGAGGGACAGTCATTTTAGTTTATCTCACCAGAAATAGTTGTTATGGTTCAAAGATAACCTTATAACCAAATGTTCAATGGCATACATCCATTTATTATATGCCATATGAAGTGGATTCTAGTCCAAAAAGGCTTTTAGTATAATGCATTTGTTAATATTTAAGATGCTGCAAGAATCCCTGTTGTCTTCAGGGCATCAGGCTATTGGCTCCTGTCACTATTAATCCAATTTGTAAAATCTGATTACCTGTTTAACTCAGCCCTTATAGTTGTTTTACTATTTGCCGGTAGAAAGTTTCTGTTCTGAGAACTCTTACCTCACACTTGCTTAGCAGTCCTGTTTCCTGTAGTCTGGACCAGATACTCTGGATTCTCCCAGCATGCTCTGGGTGAACATTAGTGTTTCCACATGTACACTGATGTTTCAACATGAAAGTGTCATAAACCACTCCTGTGAGAGGGCAGGAAAGCAGGATAGTGGAGGAAAGAGTTGGACAAGGAGACAAATTGGTAAGATTATGGCAATGTCAAGTTGAAGACAAAATTATACCTTTATAAGGAAAAATGCATTCTGCTCATGCTCAGTGACACCTGATATGTCTAAAGAGTAAACACTCCATACAGATTTGAAAATCAAATTTTAGGGCTTTTTTCAAATAAAGCTTTGATCTCTTGGATGTACAAGATGAATGCAGGAAAGTTCTTGTATGTTGAATGCACAACTTTATTTTGAAGGATCATTTGTTTTCCTATCCACCTATCTGTGCATTAAGATCTTCAACTGGGGCCTTCCTGTTGGCTCTCTTCACCTTGAGAAAGAGGTGAAGATATATAACACAATGGTTCTCAACCTGTGGGTCCCGGATGTTTTGGCCTAAAACTCCCAGAAATCACAGCTAGTTAACCAGCAGTTAGGATTTCTGGGAGTTGAAGGCCAAAACATTATTTATTTACTTACTTACTTACTTACTTACTTACTTACTTACTTACTTACAGTATTTATATTCCGCCCTTCTCACCCCGTACGGCATTCAGGGTGGATTACAATGTACATATACATGGCAAACATTCAATGCCATAGATACACCACAAATATACTCAGACACACAGAGGCGATTTCACATTCCAGATTCATGAGGGTATTCTGGTCACCAGGGGAGCTGTTGCTTCACCGTCCATTTGTGACACTGATGGAGTACTTCCTCATTCTTTTACACGCTTGCTGGATATTTTATGGGGTCGTAAATTCGTTAAATTAGCCTCCCTGTATAAGCAGTACCTAAATTTCCTACTTGACAGATGCAACTGTCTTTCGAGCTGCAAAGGTCAACAGCAAGTTACACAAATGACTTTAGCTGAAGAACTGGCACCATTTCCTACCTGTAGTGAAAAGGTGACTGGCCACAGGTTCAACTGTACTGCTTTTCAGGCTAGTGCTGGCCGGTGAAGATTGGGTGCGGCTGAGGGCTTGATGGGGCAGAGTGCTAATGCTTAGAGGCGTCTGGTAGAGCTGAAGATGTCGCAGCTGATGTGCATCTGCAAACACCTGCCAAAAGTAGGAAAGGGAAGGAGGAAAAAGAGAAAGATCAATCTAAGCAGTTTACAACTGCTGCCATGCTTGGCTCAACTAATGGACACCAAGAGGAAACTAATTCTCCTTGAAGGGTGTGGTACTACACCACTTCATTTGGGTCAAACTTTCCCCAGTATACACAGAATGACATTTATCCTGGATTTCAAAACTTCTGATTTCTGAACCAAGGACAAACCAAATTTTGTGTTCTCAAATAAATCATGTGCTCTGTGTTGGGATTCAACCCCACACTGCCCAAGTCTCAAGTCCTCAATAAGGAACAGTTTTGTTGGCTTAATATTGACTAAGGGCTTCCTTTCCCCCATGTCTCCTGCATGACAGTTGGGATGTAGTCTGTTCTTGTTCTCTCTCTTTCTCTCTGTTTCTGCTTTCATTCTGATTGGTTATTTAAAACTGAAATGTTTGTACTGCAAGCTTTTTTAATCTGACTTCTGCCTTCTCAAACTTTATAATGGAGAGTATGTGCTGCTGTGTGCTTTGAGATCTCTCTCTGCTTGTGTGTCAGGAGAGTTGTAGTGCTTGGATGAGTTTTTCCCTCTCTTGAAACCTTGGAAGAGATGGGTGTTAGAGCAGCTCAGACCTAGTTATTGATTATTAAGAAATGCAGTTATTTCTTATTGTTGTAAATAACCTTTTGTGATTTTTTAAAGATTGGACTTGACATGTTTGCCTCCTAAGCTCTGAATTCTTTACAGCCACCTCACACGCATTTCATGCTCTGCTCACTAACAAGCTGTTGCTCAAGTTTTTGTATCCTGTTTGTTTTTGGATTCTCTGCTATATTTTAGGGTAGTTTCCCCTAATACTCTGGACATATAAATTATACATATATGTACGTACACTAAATACAGAGAGTAAAAAAGAGTAAACACGTGTTAATATTGTGGGTGAACTTTAGAGAGCAGTAAGGAATCCAGCAAGGTGCTGAAATTTCTCTTTTCTTAGTGGAAATCCTGATTATCCTCTCTTCCATTCTTCAAGTGCTATTCTCACGCTCCCCAGCTTATCACTCAGGCAAAAAAGGGGCAATTATTTGCTTTAAGACTGTGAAAACTGATATTTTAGGATGCTAAATTCAACACCAGAGACAGGATTTTAAGCTTGCACCCATATAAAGATGAATATATGCTTGAACTAGCTTAGACCTTATCATCATTTCCAACTTTGGCTGTCTTTGGCTTAATTGAGCGTAATCAATATAATGATTTTAAAGATTTGGTCATCAGTGGTGCAGCCATGTCAAATCAAGTTACAAAATACAAAAGTCTGTGCAGATGGTAAAGAAATCACACTGCTTCTTTATTCATCCCCACATTTGCACTTTACCATGAGGCAATGGTTCAACTCCCTATTAGCTTGATAAATTAGATTAAATTGAAACTCTAAAGGAAATCATACAGAGTTTTCCCAGACTTTCTACAAAGAATTTTAGCAACAGCCCCCATGACACATACATGTTGACCTCTGAGCTACTTCTTCTCAACCTTCTCTTGACCACTACCTTTTTCTGATTTTTTTTCACCACATCCCCATTCTTCTGCAGCCAGAGACTTTCATCTAGCTGCCAAATACACATTTCAGTTGGAGCTGATGAAATATTTAGGTGCACAAAAAGAAATGAAAGAATGAAAAGGAAGACAAGATGACTCATTCTGGAGGATGATGCGGAGAAGAGAAAAAAGATGCAAGAAAACATGGGTAGGAGAGAGACAGAAATGATAGCTGTGAGGTGGAAGATGAGTCACTCTCCCTTTTGTAAACTCCACTAGTGCTATCTCAAATGAATGGCATGAGGTATGGAAGCAAATGATGATGCCTTACTTCTTTTTCATCTTCCTGTGCATCTTGCAATGTTCCAAAGTCTGCTCTTACATGGTCACACTATATCATCCTGCTTCCAACACTATACCTGGCCATTCCCCCAAAATAATAGAGTAGTAAGGATTTTACTTATTTCCCTGCTCAAAAAACAAGACTGACTACTCACAATCTCTCTATAAGAATGTAAGAAGACCACTATTAGGATCAGAACAATGCCTGAGATAGTATCTTGTATTCTTTGACAGCTATCTAGGAAGACCACCAGCAACAAATTGGAAATGATAGCCTTCTCGTGTCCTTGCTGCCAGGTAGCAGGCACATGAGGTGATAGTAAATTACAAAACTCTTATAGTCATTTTGGCAATCACAGCAAATGAAGTTTCCTGACATGAGGATATTACAGTGAGCAACCTGTACATTTACTCAGAGAAAAGAAATAGCTTCCAAGAAAGGCCCAATGTATCTTTTCTGGATACCAAGACATTCTCTTTGAAGACAGAGACTGCATGCAGAAATCACAATTAGCAGTTATTGCAGAGCTGTGAAAAATTAGTTTGTGGACAACAAACCCCAGGGTCCATCAGCCATTAGCCATGGGTGCAGTAGCCAGGTGGCTGCAAGTAATTTATCTGTGATTCAAAAAGCAATTTATCTCCATTCTAAGCTATTTATTGACCACTATTCCTGAATCTGTTTTACCCAAAATGTCCACATCATCTAAGCCAGTAGTCATCACCAATTCCTGAGACAGGAAATTTTCCAGACTAATTGGGTACTACATATATGAAATATTTACGTTTGTCTCTCCTGAATCTATTGACAATCAATTTGGTGGATGACTCCAGTCTCTAATATCATGATCAACAATTCAATCTCAAGTCATTTATATTGTTTTATCTGCCCCCCCTCTTGAGATCACATGATTATCAAGATGGATAATTAAAAGAAATAAGTAAAAAACAGAATGAACAAATGCAGTCCTCACCTGTCTGTAGGTCACCCCCAGCTCTTCCACTTCTGGTTCTTCTTCCAGCTTGCTCTCCTCAGCTTCGTCCTTTACTTGTTCTTCTATCACCTCCTCCTCCTCTTCCTCCTCCACCACTTTTTCCTCCTCCTCTAAGTCATCTTGCGTTTCCTCGCTCTCTGTTGACCCATCCACCAGAAAAGGCCCTTGGCCCAGACCTAAGCCCAATGTCTCCTGCTGCTCTGTAAGCTCTTCCTCGGTTTCTTCAGGGTGTGTGGTCGGTGGTCGTGGCAGCTCACCAGTCTTGGTGATGATCTACAAAAAGCAGGGTAATAATAATACTGTTTCAAAAGATTTTGACTGCGACTTTTAAAATGTTGCTTGTATTTAATTCTACTTTAATGTTTGCATTTTGGTATTTTTTAAATTGTGTATTAATGCTTTTACATCAAGTCACTTTGAGTCTCCTTGGGAGAGATAAAGCAGGATATAAATAAACATAACAACAACAACAATAAACACAAGCGATATCGTAATTTCAATGTGTTGTTGAAGGCTTTCTTGGCCAGAATCACTGGGTTACTGTCAGTTTTCTGGGCTGCATGGCCATGTTTCAGAAGCATTCTCTCCTGACATTTCACCCACATCTATGGCAGGCACCCTCAGAGGTTGAGGGTTATGTTGTAGACTAGGCAAGTGAGATTTATATATCTGTGGAGTGTCCAGGGTGGGAGAAAGAACTCTTGTTTGCTTCAGGCAAGTGGGGACGTTACAACTGACCATCTTGATCAGCATTTAATGGCCCTGTAGCTTCAGAGCCTGGCTGATTGCTGCCTGAGGGAATCCTTTGTTTGGAGGTGTTAGCAGGCCCTGATTGATTCTTGTCTGGAATTCTCCTGATCATAGTTTCGTTTTGCTACCAAATTCTGCAGTGATGGGCTCACTGGGCCCAAAGAGACCAGCCTAGAGGCAGGATTATAGTTTTTCTCACTTCTTGACTGGTCGAGTCTTTGGTTCCACTTGCCACTCCTTTCAACTCATTGCAGGACAGAGAGGAAACTGAGAGAAACAAATAAGCATGCAACCCTACTTCTCTGTCCTAAAGTAGGAAGGTACTGGGTGGGACATAACAGCCCAAACATAGTGGGAGTGATAAGGAAAAAACAGGAAGAGGGCCGTTCACTCTTACCCACTGTCCTATCATAAAGAACTGCAAAATTAACTTCAAAATGTAATATACAAGAAGCCCAACATGAAAGAGTTGCAAAGTTCAGAACCCTGTATCTTGACCAGATGAACCACCACCTTCTCTACCTACCTTTCCCAGTTGAATCTGTTGTTGCTTCTGCTTCTCCAAGAAGTGCTGATGCTGTTGCTGCACAACCAAATGCTGTAATGCTTGAGGGCTTTGAGGCAGTGGTGACGATTGGGTGCGGCTCAGAGGTCGGTGCCGAGGCAGCTTGTTTACAGTCCGCAAATTGGAGGGGATGCGCTCCCCTGTCACCAGAGGGGATTGGCCATGCAAAGGAACTGCAGTGACATGATGAGACGTTATTAAGACAGACTAGAATTTGATATTTCATTCTAAAAGGAAAAGTCAGGTTTCTAGTTCTCATGACCTTTTTATTTTATTTATATGGATGGTTTCTGCAGAACTCTGAATGAACACAAAGTTTTATGAAAACAAGGCTTTTTTGTGGAGTTCCAGGGCCAGAGAAGCAGATGGCAAAAACAGAAGAACGGTCTGCCCTAGGGGAGCATGCTTGCTCTATCAATGTTTAATATTTACACAAATGATCAGCCACTGCCAAAAGGGACAGAGAGTTTCATGTATGCTGATGATCATGCCATCACCGCTCAAGCAGATAGCTTTGAAATGCTTAAACAGAAGCTCTCTGAAGCTTTAGGTACTCTTACTGCTTATTACAGGGAAAGCCAGCTGATTCCTAATCTATCTGAAATGCAGACGTGTGCTTGTCGTCTTAAGAACAGACAAGCATCTCGAGCTATGAGGATTACCTGGAAAGGAAGCCCACTGGAGCATTGCAGCACACTAAAATACCTGGGAGTTACTCTGGACCATGCTTTGACTTACATGATTATCAGGCAAAAAGTGGGTACTAGAAAAAATGTCATACGAAAGCTGACTGGCACAACCTGGGGATCACAACCAGATACAGTGAAGACATCTGCCCTTGTGCTTTGCTACTCAGCTACTGAATACGCATGCCTAGTATGAAATACATCTCACCATGTTAAAACAGTGGATGAGGCATGCCACATTATTACAGGATCCCTACGCCCTACACCGCTAGAGAAATTATACTGTTTAGCCAATATTGCACCACCTGATATCTGTCGGGAAGTAGTGGCCAGTAATGAAAGACAAAGGCATTGACCTCTCCGGACCATCTTCTGTCCAGATATCAGACAGCATGCCAATGCCTTACTGAAACAACCACTCGCAAGGATTCCCTAGAGATGCTGGACATCCACTGATTGCTTGTGCTGGAGGAATAATGTACTAAACAGCTGCTGCAACTGAGCACCAACCATTAATTGAAAAGAGGCGCTCCATATTCGGAGGGAGACAGGGAGAAAGTCAACTGAGACCAAGTCAGACAAAGCAAGCCCGGTGAACAGCCAGCAGGTCTGAATCAGGAACAGAAAGATGATGTCATCAGCCTGTACAGTCTCCTAGTTGTTCCCAGCTGCTATCAACAACAGTGGATGAGTATTGCATTCCATCTTGTACAAGCTGTTTTGTTCTATGTTGTGTACATATCACCTTCATCTCTTACTCACCAGCAATTAGTGTATTCTGCTGCCGAGCCTGTTCAAGGAGCAGGACGTGTTGAAGCAAAGATGCATGGCCATGGTTGTTGGTCTCGCCCTCAAGGGCCACCCCCAGAAGGCAACTGGGGATCGACGACATGCTCAGGAACTTGCTTGTCAAGGCACCCCCCTGTCGCAATGACTGGATGGCCTGCCGCTCTGCTTCCTGCTGAGTGGAAAGACTTGGAGAGGCCTAAAAGAGAAAAATATGAGAATGCTTGCAGAAGCCCATGAAAGTCTTCAGGCTGTGAAACGTTGACCTGGTTTGTATTGCTTTCAGAATTTCTGTCCTTTCAGAAGTCAGATATTGTCACCCAATATTTATGTCTCTCAATAGGATTTATGTGGTTAATTTTTATTTTTTAAACCTTATCTCATATCTTATAGAAATAAAAATGTAATGTTCATTTGTGGTATTCACAAAATTCAAAAACCACTGGGGAAATTGACACCAAATTTGGACACGATACACCTAACAACCCAATGTATGTCCTTCACTCAAAAAAATTGATTTCGTAATTTGAGAGTTGTAGTTGCTGGGATTTATAGTTCACCTACCATCAAAGAGCATTCTGAACCCCACCAACGATGGAATTGAACCAAACTTGGCACACAGTTCTCCCATGACCAACAGAAAATACTGGGTTTGGTGGGCAGTGTCCTTTGGTTTTGGAGTTGTAGTTCACCTACATCCAGAGATCACTGTGGACTCAAACAATGATGGATCTGGGCCACACTCTATACGAATACTCAATATGCCCAAATGTGAACACTGGGGAAAATAGAATATTGACATTTGGGAGTTGTGGTTGCTGGGATTTATAGTTCACCTACAATCACAGAGCATTCTGAACCCCACCAACGATAGAATTGGGGCAAACCTCCCACACAGAACCCCCACGTGGGCCACAGCAACGTGTGGCAGGGGATGGCTAGTATCAAATAAGATTAGACCCAGATTTCTTCAGAAGTTTGAGTAAATTCTAAATTAGCCTACTGTGGTCTTCATCTCCTTGAATCATCCCCCAAAACTGAATTGAGATGATAAGGTTACCTTAGGGAAGTTGCACAAGTATTGCTAAACTTCAAAATGAGTCCAATCATATATGTATCTAGAAATTTCTCCTTTCATGGCTTCAATATATTTTGGAAATTATGATGTTAAGGAAGGATTCTGATAGGGGCAAGGAAGCCCAAATCCAAAGCAGCAACAGAGCTGTATTTCAGAGCATGATAGCCCTATATAGATTAATTTATCTAACTGGGCCCAAACTCTAATGCAGACCAATTAAAAGAAGTCAGGGACTCTTGCTAATTTCAGGATGAGCCTGAATGTCTGGAGCACACAAGCACAGCCATAAGCTCTATGCAGCTCTTCAGGGATGATAACAAATCACAGCAGAGACCAGCAGAATGTGAAGTCTGCCAGTCAGCTATTTCCAACTTCTGATGCTGAAAATAGACAAGTTGTAGACTAGGCATGAGTACCACATATCCAACTTGAGCCAAGTTCGGTGCCTGTCATTAGAGGGAGGCAATAAATAGGTCACAGCTGGGCACCAGTCGATGTGCGGGAAAACAAAACCCAGACTGGGCCTCTCCAAAAAGCAGAAGAAAACAAAAAGAAGGGGCAATTCTAAATGTTCCTTTGGGTGGATCACCATCACTCCCATTTACAAGGAAAGTACAATGCTTGTGGGAGGAAGAATATGAATCAAACAAGAGCTACAAAACAAAAGCAAAGACATGTGGCAGCAGTAAAGTATTCTAATTTTTTTTAAAAAAGTGAATTTGATAGGTAGCCGTTGCATGCCAAAGTGACAGAAGTATGCAGCCAGAGATTAAACCACTACACTATGTTGCAGTAGCCATGAGCATAAATAGAATTTTAAATAGAATACACAAAGATAAAAAGGAAGAAAAATGCCTCTCTGCTTTTTTTTCTGTGTCAGGAGCAACTTGAGAAACTGCAAGTCGTTTCTGGTGTGAGAAAATTGGCCGTCTGCAAGGACATTGCCCAGGGGACAACCGGATGTTTTAGCATCCTGTGGGAGGCTTCCCTCATGTCCTCACATGAGCAGCTGGAGCTGACAGAGGTAGCTCACCCTGCTCCCTGGATTCGAACCGCTGATCTATCAGTCAGCAGTTCTGTTGGCACAAGGGTTTTACCCATTGAACCACCAGAGCTCCGCCTCTTTGCTTACTAGCTATGTAAACCAAAACAAAGCATGGGAAAATTATTTACATATAGCTTAGTTATGTGTAATTATGAGAAAGAATTAAAATAAAACTGCAGCCCTCATGGATCTGGCCAACTGGAAAATGACCCTCAGCCTGGTCTCAGCTACCCATCCCTGTCCTAAGATGTTTGTGAGGATTTGGGGCCACATACTCACATTGAGGTGCGAATTTGTCACTGTGACGGTAGCCTGAAGTCCCAAGGAGATGTTGGGCAGAGATGGGGAAGTGTACAAGCTGAGCTGGTTAGCTGACCCATCCAAATTGACAGCTCGGTGTTGGGGCAGCATCTGCTATATTAAAGAAAATACAAATTAAAGGAAAGATTGGAAAGATAGTGTGAGGAAAAACATTAAGAAGAGAAAGGAGATTAAAATACTTCAACAAAGCCTTTGAAAGGCTATTTTGCCACTCCCGCTGGTTCTTACTAAGAAGGCAAGAGACTACTAAGCCACATACTTGGCAACTTACTTATTTGAAATCATTATGCTAGTAAGATATACAAAAGGGTAACAGCAGGTAGATTGCAATCCTATACAGAGATTTCAGGAGTCAATTAAAACAGAGATGCCTCACTTGCACAACAAGTGCAGCAAATAAACATTGCTTAAGTATTGCTTATGTATTTGCGAAGATAACAAAAGCCCATCTGCTCCAAGCTGGTGCTATCCAGATGTGCTGGGATGCATCTTCCATCACCCCTAGTTAACACAACCATTACTTTCCATGCAGGGAAAACTATCCATCAACTCAAATGAGTACTCCTCAAACCAAATGAGTACAAAAGGTAACATCAGGTAAACTGCAATCCTATGCTCAGCACCAACAATTTCAGGAGTCAGTCAAGGCAAAGATTCTTCACTTGCGCTATACAAGCTAAACATTCTGAACTCATGTCACATTGGCTAAATATGGTTCAGTATTGTTATTTTACAGTCAACTGTACAATCTCTTTGGACTCTCAAATGTACTCATATCATTTTCTGAATTATGCCATTTTTGTTTCAGCTGTATCCTTTCATTATTTTCCACAGCAAATTACTTGTTTGAGCTATGTAAAGGAGTGGAAATTTGTCTCTATGCAATTTTTGTATTCTTAGCAAAGCAAAAGATGCATGTTTTCTCACAAGGACACACAGGAAAATGATCAGCAGTCTGGAGAACAAACCCTATGAGGAATGACTTAAAGAGCTAAGCATGTTTAGCATGCAGAAGAGAAGGCTGAGTGAAGACATGATGAGGGCCATGTATAAATATGTGAGGGGAAGTCATAGGGAGGAGGGAACAAGCTTGTTTCTATTGCCAATGGCTTCAAACTACATGAAAGGAGATTCCATCTGAACATTAGGAAGAACTTCCTAATGGTGAGAGCTGTTCAGCAGTGGAACTCTCTGCCCCAGAGTGTGGTGGAGGCTCCTTCTTTGGAGGCTTTTAAACAGAGGCTGGATGCCCATCTGTTGGAGGTGCTTTGAATGAGATTTTCCTGCTTCATGGCAGGAGGTTGGACTGGATGGCCCACAAGATTTCTTCCAACTCTAGGGATTCTATGATTCTATGATACTAGTTGAAAGAGAAGAAATTGTCATTCTACCAAGAGACATGCGCTGTGGGATTTTCTTCTAAGTTAGTTACTAGGCCTGTGCGGTTTCGTTCGTTAATTCGTTAAACATTCGTTAATTTTAGCATATACGAAACGACAACAAAACATATTTCCAAACCCGGAAGGGTTTATAAATATCGAAACGGCAACCCCCACAGTTTTAACTAACTTTCGCCCGTTTCGTAAATGGGGCGGGCGGGCGGGGCGAAGGGGCGGCGCGAGCGCGCACCCAGTGAGCCAAGCCCCGACCCTGCCTGTTGGGCGCGAGCGCAACCGGCTCCCGATTGACTAACTGCCCGATTCACAGAATGGTATTATACGTACACTCATAGGCGCATGGAGACAGAGCCGGCGCTGCAGGAATCCCCTCCCCGGCTCCGCCCCGGCTCCTGCGCTCCGGCTCCGGCTCCTGCGCCCTCCTCCTCCTCCTCCTCCTCCTGGCACTTCCTGCACACAGCTGCGGAGGCCGGTTGTCTCTTTAAGGCGCCTCTCTCTCCCAGCGGTGTTGCAAGAGACAACCGGCCTCCGCAGCTGTGTTGCAGAAAGGGGGATGAGGAGGGGGAGGAGGTAGGATGATGAGGAGGAGGAGGAGGATGAGGATGGGGATGAGGAGGAGGATGAGGATGAGGAGGAAGATGAGGAGGAGCGCAGGAGCCGGGGAGGGGATTCCTGCAGCGCCGGCTCTGTCTCCATGCGTGTACGTATATACCATTCTGTGAATCGGGCAGTTAGTCAGACCCATCTCTTCTGATGACAAATGTCACACCTATCACATAGGAGTCCTTCCCATGTAAGCAACATCTGACCGAATTCATTCTTCTATACAACTGGGAAAGATACAGGAGTTCTGCTCCTAATAAAGATGGGAATAATATGTGAAAATATTCTAAAATGCAAAAGAATGTTTGTTTACTATCAAGTAACCCTGATGAAATGAATCCTGGATTGATAAGAAACTTTGCAGTTATACGAATAACGAAGCTTGTTTTACGCATGCGCGGGGGTCCGCCATCTTTACAAAATGTTTTGTAAATATTTACAAAATTTCGTAAATATCAAAACTTTTTTTGGGAAAATTTTGTAATTATTTTAAATATCGAAACAAAAAAACACCCCAATTACAAATCGATTTTAGAAACAAATTTTTTCTTGATCAAACAAGCCTATTAGTTACACAGTTCCCACCAAAAGCTATGGGACTCAAGTCACAGATGATTTTTCACATGGAAATCAATGAGTCTCAGTCTGAATCCGCACAATAAAACAAAACACAATCAATAATGAAATTAGCAAAGCTCATTTTGGATGCCTTCAAAGTGTTGAAGAATAATCATTTGCTCAAGAAACCCAGGGCTGACTGGAAACAATAGCTTTTTTTCCCAGCAAGCAAGTTGCTCAGAATTTGGGAATCAAAGTTTTATAATAGGAAATTCAAGTATTTCTGCTGACAACGTTGTAGACTGGTGCATAGCCTTGGGAAATATATCACACACAAAAACGACAAGAACTTGGCATACAGGAAGAAGGTCCTGATAGGACAGATCATTTCCGGATATATTACTATGCAGACAGCAGTAGAGCAGTTTATTTATTTCGTATCAAAAGCATTGCATAAATTAGTATAAAACTGATAAAAATAGTTGTGCAGGCGGCTAAATATCTTTTGACCAAAAACGGGCAACAGCAACGGCATCGTCTGTAGCCTCCAACAATTCCTCCTCTGTACATGAGGCAGGACACAATGGATAAGCATACAGATGCAGAGTTGTCTGTAGAGTAAAGCAGTGATACATTTTAAAAGTATTGTCAAAGGCTTCCATGGCTGGAATCACTGGGTTGTTGTAGGTTTTTCGGGCTATATGGCCATGTTCTAGATGCAGGTGAAACGTCAGGAGAGAATGCTTCTAGACCACCCAGTAGGTTTCAATGGCCGAGTAGGAAATTGAAGCCTGGTCTCTAGAGTAGTGGTCCAACACTCATACAATTACACCATGCTTTGTTAAGATATGTCCAAACCTATCCAACAGGAGGTATCGACTGCCTCTTATAGACACTACAAAGATTAGTAAAGTGCTGTGCACACTGGTGATGAAATATAATTAAACTAATGGGCAGGAGTGCCACTTGCTACCCCTTCTTGGGCTGCAAAATATACTGGGCTACTACACTAGAAGCTGCCACATAAATATTGTTACCAATGTACTGAACTTACACACCACTATGACAGGCACTTCACAGGTTACAATAATAACTCACAATCTATGGAAATCATGATGGAAAAGGAAAAACAGAACAGTGGTAGGAAGAGGGAAACAAGAGGAAATTCAGGCTCTAACTATTTCATAGTGTTACATAATGGAGTTACATAATGCCCTGGTGGGATGCTCACTGCAACAGACAGTTATGGTAAGGGAGGAGTCAAGTGGCAGCTGGTGCCAGCCAAGCTGATGGAGGGGGCCTTGCTGCGTCACCTTTCCCTCTGATGCAGCCAAGTGGAATTAGCTGCTGAGGGAGACAAGCGATGCTTGTGATCTTCCCTGCTAAAGAGAGCAAAAAGCACCAGTCAGCTAATATGCAAGGCCAAGATGCTAAAATATTCATGTCCATCATGCAATGAGGGATTCAGGATCAAAACGAAGGAAAGTTACCTTTTCTGCACTAAAGCTGGCTAAGCTGAAGAAGCTCTTATTCAGATGCAGAAATTCAGTGTAGGAGAATTTAAATCAAGGTTGAGGAACAAGTGGCCTTTTTATGTTTTTGGACTGCAGGATGATAGGAGCTGCAAGCCAACCACATCTGGACTGCTGGACTGCTGTCCATGGTTTAAACCAGGCCTGCACAACTTGCAGCCCTCCAGGTGTTTTGGACTTTGGCTCTCAGACTTCCTGAGCATTGAACAAGCTGGCTAGGGCTTCTGGGAGTTGGAGACTAAACATCTGGAGAACCGCAGATTGTGCAGGTCTGGTTTAAGAATTACTAGTTCTGAGAAGGCCAAGGGAGAGTGCTGCCAAACATTTCGGACAATTAGTAAAAATGGAAAGGTAAGACTATATAATGTTTGTGCTGGCCTTTATAAGGTCCAAATGCACAATGAGAACAACACTTTATGAGCCCACATGGTCATGGTGGCAGGGATTGTACATGCTAAGCATCAGAAATGATGACAGGGTCTTAGAGTTATATAAATTGTGAGATTTGGCAGCACTGCCTATTCGGAAAGGTGAGTTAAAAATAGTAAGCAGCAGCAGCAATTGACTGTCAAGGTTAACTAAGCAATGTGCAATGTTACTAAGTCTAAAGATAACCAGAGATATTTCAAATATTTATAGACTAACAACTAAAATGCATGTGTGGGGGTGGATTAATGGTTCTCTGGTAAGTGGCTGGCAGTAATAGTGCTATCCATAACATACTGGGATAAAGTTGAAACATCTAGGGCTTAGGCTGTATCTACACTATTGAATTAGTGCAGTTTGACAGTATTTTAACTGCCATGGCTCTTGGCTAAATCTTACAGAATCATGGGAGCTATCGTTTTATAACACCTTCAGCCTTTTCTACCAAAAAGTGCTAGTGCCTCACCAAACCACAACTCCCATGATTTTGTAGCATCAAGCCATGGAAGTTAAAAGTGGTATCAGACCCCGTTAATAATACAGTGTAGATGCACCCCTAGTTTCTGGATTGTATTTC